TTGCGCAAATGCGTCTGGCAGGGACGAGAGACAGGGCCTTCTCGGTGGTGGCCCCTTGCCTATGGAACACACTCCCAAATGAGGTAAGATCTGCTCCCTCCTCCTGGCTTTTAGAAAGAAATTAAAATCATGGCTTTGGGACCAGGCCTTCGGACAGTAGATGTTTGTAGAGTTTAAAGGACATGGACTAGAATGACAATACGACTGGCGAGACTGTTTTTATTATTTATTGTTTTAATGATTGCTTATGTTCTGTGTAATTATGATTTATGCTTAATGTGGTTTTATTATTGTGGTTGTTATGGATTGGCATCGCATCAGTGTCCAATGTATGGCATTGAAGTTTTGCCAGTTATGTGTAAACCGCTTTGAGTCCCCCTAGGGGTGAGAAAAGCGGTATAGAAATACTGTAAATAAAATAATAATAATAAATAATTAAGATATCATGCCAAGAAAACTAATGATAACATTGGGTCGTCATGTTTGAAGTGACTTAAAGGCAAATAATGACAAAAGGGGACGAGGATTCAGAATGTGCGTTTGCTTATGCTCAACAGACTAAAAATAATTGAAAAAAGATTTCCACAGTAACACTGATCACACTGCGAGGCAATAACCCCCCTGTTTTTTTTCACTTTCTAATATGCCAATTAGTCCTAAACCCTCCCAAATCTGTAAATGTATCCCGATTTGCCATCCACACATACTGCTTGATTTAAAAGCACATATGGGTTGTGTTTCCTTGGGTCGGGGAATGCAGAGCTCTTTCTCGAACCGGGAGATGTCTGTGTGGGTTTTTCGGTTTTTCTTCCTAAAGAGCATCTCCGCAGCTCAGCAAGACTCACAGATTGTCATATGGCGAAGGATCTGCTTGGGAACCATCCGTTTGTGCAAAGACGAGCCCAAGGCAAAGGCCACCATCCGAGGGAGGGAAAGAAATGTGCCGAAACCCACCAAATCCATATGGCACTAAGTGTCCTTAAATCACACTGAATGGCAGTTGTTTATCATGAATCCCTGCTTGGGATTGGATTCCTTCTAGAGAGCTATTTGTCCTCTCACTCTCTGCAAAAGCGTGTGGATCGGTGTTAAAATAATAGACGTGAAATGGAAAGAAACAAGCAGAAAACTTGGAGGAAGCTGAGGGAGAAAGAGAAAAGAAAGAGAAGAAAAGGATGGGTAGAAGCACCTCCTACAATGTGCACTAACTCCAAAAATGGGGCATAGTGTTCAATTTATTTATTTATTACAGATACTTTTACCCCGCCCTTCTCAACCCCCGAGGGAGGACTGTGATAAAAGATATGTAATAATAATTTACTTATTTTTTACTTAGGCAATCCCTTGTAGCCTGAGAATGATGGCCCTCCAAGTGTAGTCTCTTGGCAGTGGATACATAGGTGGCCGTGGAGACCTATTCTTCATCCACATGTTCTTCCTTAGTGAGGACATCAGTTTCCAGATGGAAAGCGATTCCGGCCAGGGTTGGCTTGACTCACCTTCCTCTTAGCACATTTCTTCCTTTCGCCCTCCATTTGTGCCTCTTTGAATTCCACAGCACTGCAGGTCACAGCTGACCTCCAGGTAAAGTGCTCAAGGGCCAGGGCTTCCTAGTTTTCAGTGTCTATGTCAGTTTTTAAGATTGGCTTTAAGTCCATCTTTAAATTTCTATAAATTTCCGTTCTTGAGTTGGGGGTATAGTAATGGCTTTGGGAAACTGTGATTTTTGGGCATTCGGACAGCGTGGCATTCATTCCAGCAGAGTTGATGGCGCAGGGGTATCGCTTCAATGTTTCTTCCAGAACGCTGACATTTGTCCGCCTGTCTTCCCAAGAGATTTGCAGGATTTTTCAGAGGCAACGTTTTGCAGCATTGGGAGGACAACAGCTTTATAAACAAGCACCTTAGTCTCCCAACGGATGTCCCAGTGCTCAAATACTCTCTGCTCCATTCGGAAAAATACCGCACTCACAGAGCTCAGGCGGTGTTGTATTCCAGTGTCAATGTTGGTATTTGTGGAGAGGTGGCTACCAAAGGAGGGGAAAGGGTCAACATTTTCTAACATTACACCATTAAGCTGTATTTCTGGCATTTGAAAAGGGATTGGCTGGTGATTGTTGAAAGAGCACTTTGGTTTTCTCAATATTCAGTGAGAGGCCGAGCTTCTTGTATGCACTCTAAACACCTTGTATGCAAAGGTGTTTAGTGTGGCTTGTAGGTCTTCTTCTGAATGCGCACAGACTACGTTATCATCGGCATACTGGAGTTCTATAACAGATGTTGTTGTGATTGGGCTTTCAGTCTGCTGAGGTTAAATAGCATTCCATCTGTCCGATAGGTGATTTCCACTCCGGTGGGAAGTTTCCCATCAACAAGATGAAATATCATAGCGACGAAGATGGAAAATAAGGTTGGGGCAATAACACATCCTTGCTTGACACCTGATTCCACCTTAAATGGGTCACTTTGAGAGTCATTGCTGTCCAAGACTGTTGCCATCATGTCATCATGGAGAAGTCACAGAATTTTCACAAATTTGTCAGGGGGCCCAATTTTTTGGAGGATGGTACAGAGAGCACTGTGATTCACTGTGTAATAATAATAATGTTGTTGTTTTTGTTGTTGTTTATAGCTCAACGGCAGAACATTCCTTTTCATACAGGGCATCCCAGGTTCAATCCCAGCCCCTCCAAGAAATGCTAAGTAGATAATTTAGCTGAAACCTTGGAAAGCCATTGGTAACAAATGCTGGGCGAGAGAAAGCCATAGTGTGACTCTGGATACTGTCACTTCCTTATATTCATAGTCGGAAGAAAGGCACACTCCTCTTCAGAGAAGGAAACTTCCAGCCTCAGTAAGTCACAAACCCAGCAACAGTCCTCAGATGCTTCCAATACTTAATTCATAAAAGGAAAAGTAAGTCTGAGTGTTGGGCCAGTGTTCAAATCACCATTTGGCCATGGAAACCCACTGGGAGAACTTGGGCAAATCACACTCTGGCAGCATCTCAACTTCAAGCCGCATGATACACATAGAAAGCAAATAAAGCCAGGCAGAGAGATGTGCAACTAAATTGTCTGAATGTGTTTTGCTGAAACTGAAGAGGGAGGAGAGAAAAGGCCTCAATAAAGAGATGGCAAAGCTAAAAGAGAAAGGAAGGGGAAAAGGAAGGAAAGTATGCACAGAAACAGAAATTCAAGAGGCAATAGCAGGACTTTCTGGGAGGCAGAAGAAAACTAAAGCAACTCTTCATTTCTCACCTGCAGCAAGGAGGAAGCTGTAAGGCGTCAGAAGTCTTAAAAGCAAGAAGGAAAAGAAGAATAATCTTTCATTGCCCTCTATCTTTCCTTGACAAGAATTGCTTACAACACAAATCACAGGATGCAGGTTTTCCCCCTAAAACAGGTATGGCAAACCTAGGCCCAGGAGCTGGATGCAGACCCTTAGACTCTTTGCTCAGGCCTTCCTCTCTCTCACCATCCTATCCTTCCTTCCCTCTTTCCTTCCCCCTTTCTTCCCTCTTTCTCCTCCCATTCCACCCTTCCTTCTTCCCTCCCTTCCACCCTTTCATCCTTCCTTCCCTCTCTCCCTTTCTCCCTCCTTCCTTCCTTCCTTCCTTCCGTTTTGTCTTCCCTTCCTTCTTCCTTCCCTTCCTTCCTTAAATCATTCCTTTCCTTCCTTTCGTTCTTCCTTCCTTTCCTCTTTCTCTGTCCTTCCATCCATTCATCCTTCCCTTCTACCCTTTAATCCTTCCCTCTCTTTTTTCTTTCCTTCCTTCTCTCTTTCCTTCCCCCTTACCTCCTTTTACCTCCTCGTGGGCCATCCAGTCCAACCCCCTGCCAAAAAGCAGGAAAATCACATTCAAAGCACCCCTGACAGATGGCCATCCAGCCTCTACTTAAAAGCCTCCAAAGAAGGCTTTTAAGACCTGCCTCCCTTCCTTTCCTCTTTCTCTTTCCATACTTCCCTTCCACCCTTTCGTCCTTTCTTCCTTCCCTTTCCTCTTTCTCTCCCTGTTTCCCCTCCCTTCTTTCCCCTTTGTTTCCTTCCTTCTCTTTCCTTCATCCTTCCCTTCCCTTCCTTCCTTCTCTTTTTCCTTCCCCTTCCCTTCCTTACTTTCATCCTTCCCTTCTACCCCTTTATCTTTCCTTCTTTCTCTCTTTCCTCCCTCTTTCCCTCTCTCCCTCTTTCTCCTTCCATTCTTCCCTTCCTCCCTTTCGTCCTTCCTTCCTTCTATCACCAGGCAGTCAGTCCTCCTATCAGGGAGTGCTAGCATGCAGACCACAAGTTAAAAAGTTTGCCCATGCCTGCCTTAAAAGGTCTATGATTTCCCTCCATCTCAGGGCCATTCCAGAGGAAGAGATCCCATCAAAGGACCAAAGAAATGATGGAACAGGAGAGACTCTGCAAACCTAAAGTGCAAGGCCCTGAAACTCTACCAATCTGGGTCTGCAAGGGATTCACAAGATACGCTCAGACACAAGTAATACCTTCTTGAATATGAAAAGTGAAAAATCATCTCCAACCAATATGCCGGAGTGCAACCTTCCCTTTAACAAATGTGCATACGCCTTCCTCTCTGTTTTAATGAAAACCCTTGAAAGGCCATTTCAATCAGAAACTAAAGTTCTGCCTTTGTCCAAGCACACAAAGGGATTTGCAAAGACTCCAGCTCCTGAAGGGTGCTTCTCTCTGGAATGAAGATGTCCACAAAAGGGAGAAAACACTCATTGTTTACTCAAGAGCAGACATCAATTGTGTTTGCTGTTCAGGAGCAAAGGGGTCGCTTGCGGTATCTACTACCGGAGGTGATCTATAGCACAAAGAAGGCATCATCTGTTCCTATAGGCAAGCAGGGATACAATGGCCAAAGCACACAATTCCAGACCAAAATTCCAGGCTCAGGTTGGACTCAAAGCCCATTGGAATGTATTTGTTCTTTAAAAGGAAAGGGAAAAATCTTTCAAATCTATTGCAAAGTAAGCATTCCTTACTCTTACCTGCCCAGCTGGTATATGTCCTGGCCACCAGGCAATGGCTGGCTCTCTCATGCCGCCTTCAAAGGTAGTCTGCTTGCCACAGAGGAAAGGGCCGTTGCTACCCGCTAAGGGACAATAATAAAGAAACATTTATTCAAAAATATCATAAAGAGGGGAGATGGACTTGGAAAAGAAGGATGTGGATGAACTATAACTCACGTCATGCCAGGTTAACCCCCTGAAACTCCATCAGTGATTAAAGTTTGTCATGTTGGGTAAGTTTGCTCTAGATGCATCATTGGTGGGGTTCAGTGTGATCTCTGGCTGTAGGATAAACTACAGCTCCCACCATGGTGGGTCAGTCCCCTCAAATCCCTCCAGTGGGTTCAGTTGGTCATGGGGGTTCTGTGGGCCAAGTTTGGTCCAGCTCCGTCATCAGTGGTGCTCACTGTGTTTCTGGATGTAAGTGAACTACAACTTCCAGAAAGGAAGGTCAGTTCCCTCCAAACCCCTCCAGTATTTTCAACTGGTCATGGACGTTCTGTGTGTCAAGTGAGGTCCAAGGCCATTTTTGGTGGGGTCCTGAGTGCTCTTTGATTGCAGATGAACTATAAACCCTACAATGGCTATAAATCAAGGTGAATTCCTCCCAAACCTCGCCAGTATTAATGTATTGTCGAAGGCTTTCATGGCTGGAATCACGAAGTTCTTGTGGGTCTTTTTTGGGCTATATGGACAAGAACTTACTCTCCAGTATTTTTCTTTGGTCATTGGGGGATGGGCTACATCAGTGATTCTCAACCTTCCTAATGCTGCGACCCCTTAATACAGTTCCTCATGTTGTGACCCCCAACCATAACCCTAACATTATGAATCGCCGTGTAAATAATGATTTGCAGGATGTATTTTCATTCACTGAACCAAATTTGGCACAAATACCCGGTATGCCCAAATTTGAATACTGGTGCAGTTGGGTGGGGGAAATTGATTTTGTCATTTGGGAGTTGTAGTTGTTGGGATTTATAGTTAACCTGTAAACAAAGAGCATTCTGAACCCCACCAACAATGGAATTGAACCAAAGTTGGCACACATGACCAACAGAAAATACTGGAAGTGTTTGGTGGGCATTGACCTTGGGTTTGGGAGTTGAAGTTCGCCTACATCCAGAGAGCAGTGTGGGCTCAAACAATGATGGATTGGGAGCAAACTTGGCACGGATACTCCACATCATCATCATCATCATCATCATCATCATCATCATTTAATTACTTATTAATCACCCTTCATCCAAGATGCTCTAGGCGATTTACAAGCTAAATTGTAAAGAATAAAAATACATACATATAGATATTGATAAAATTAACATATGCCCAAATGTGAACACTCGTGGGGTTTTGGGAAAATAGACCTTGAGATTTTGGGGTTGTACTTGCTGGGATTTATAGTTCACCTAAAATCAAGGAGCGTTCTGAACCCCAACAATGATAGAATTGGGCCAAACTTCCCACACAGAACCCCCATGACCATCAGAAAATACTGTGTTTTCTGATGGTCTTTGGCGACCCCTCTGACACCCCTTTGTGACCCCCCCCAGGGTTCCCGACCCCCAGGTTGAGAAACACTGGGCTACATGTTCATGGTGCTCTCTAGAACCTGTAATGTCATTGGAGGGAGGGCTTTTGGTGGCTCCTCAGCACTATGGGTTAAAGCTGTTTGTAGGAGTGGGAGCCTGTCTGTGGAAGTGGACCCTTCTGCCGCAGACACACATACATATTTTCATATTTATTGTGTGTGTGTGTGTAGAGAAAGAAAAGAAAGCGAGTGGGCACTGAAGGCGGGAGGCAAGGAAGAGGGGGGTCACATGTGGGAGGAGCCTGAGAGTGATGTCAAGAGCCCCCGCTCCCTCCCTCCTGCATTTGATTGGGTTTAATAGGCTTTTCCTTAATCTCTATGTATTATCTGATATTTTCACTCATCTAACGTTCTGGCGGCCTGTTTATGTTGGATAAGCGAAACTCTACTGTATGTATGTGTTGTGGCTCAGTTTGAGCCTGAGCTTTCTGAGCCTGTGTTTCCTCAGGACGAGGAGGATGTTGGGTTACAGATTTCTGAACATGTCCCTGTTGTTGATGCAGACAGTGTTGATACTGAAGACAGGCGGCGTTTCAGTTTCCCAGGGAAAGGAATGTTGTTTTAGAAGATAGTCATGATTTGAGGGAAACTTCACACCTGCAGGTGGAGGAGTCGACTGCTCCATCTGTGAGCTCAGTGCCTGTCGATTCCCAGGCTGGCCAGTCCCAGGATAATGAGTTATTCGGCCTTGAAGGTGATGGAGATTTAGTTAGGGAGGACTGTTTGCAAATAAGGGTACCCCGAAGTGCTTGGCTTGCTAACAAACAAGAGGTTCGAGGTCAACGTAATGCTTTCATGCTAGGAAAGCATATTTAACTCTCTGTTTGAAGTCAACCCTTTGTCAGTGCAACTTTGCTTACACCCTGTTAACTTCTCTGGAATTGCCTCGGCTTTTGGGGAAAGCTTTTGGCTCTTTGGTTTTGATCTTGGTTTCTGGGGACTTTGTCATGCTGCCATGGATTCTTGTTTGACCAATACTTGTGGATTATACTTCATGTCATTTGCCTTTGGACCTTGGAAACTCTGCCTTTGCATTTAAGACTCTGTTTGGACTACTGAACTTCTGCAACCTTATTTCTATGTTTATGATTTTGCTTTTTCTTCAATAAACTAAAAAACCTACAGCCTTTGTGTGTGGTGGCATTCTGAGCAAGGCGAATCTATCCTGAGTTACGACAGTATGTAGGAACTGAATTCTGTGAGGGAACTTCCTCCTTTAAGTTTTATTGCCCTGGGTTGACCACGTGGTCTCTGCCATTGTTCCCTTTGTTCTCATCGTTGCCTTTTCTTCCTTCCAGTGTGGACGCATTTTGCCTCTCTCTTCACGCAAAATGTAGCTGCATGGGTTTTTTAAAAAACTTTTTACCCTTTTACCTCTTAGAAGATGTGACTTAGTAAGCTAGTGAGTCCCAAGACATTTTCTGTCAAGAATGTATTTCTTTTACTTCAATAAATACTTTTGAACCTAAAGTACTGACCCTGCAATCCTATGCCATGCTATGGAGAGAAAGCTTATCCTAGCTCACCACACGTAAGTTTCTGCTGGTTATGAAGTTTAATTCTGTACTCTGCTATATTTATGGTGGAATCACCCCAGCCGAGGGTTATTTTTGAGCCTAATAGCTCAGATTCCCCAACAGAGTGAACTGAAGCCCCAAATCCTATACAGAGGCCCAGTTTCTCAATTTCCTAAATAACTTCCCAGGAAGCATATCAAATTTTTGCCTCCATCCACTGACACCAGCATTAAGCGTGCAACCTGCAAATATCGAGGCAGGGACCAGGCAAACTCTCCTGTCTCTCCGCACTAAAGGTCTCCCAGGAAAGAGGAGTGATGTTTTATGGCAGCTCCTGGTTAGCACCGAGCCACGGCTTCACGGCTGGACTGACGAAAAGCCAGACGTCGCTCAAGGCCACAAATGGTGTCAACAAGGCACCTGGGACAAGAACCCTTTCTGCGGCTCTTTCTGCCCCATAAGAAGTGTCTCTGTTGCCTGAGACGGGACTGAAGAAAACACAAGGGACGAGGGATAATTCAGAGTGACTGTGCCCCAAGGGAATGAAAACCAAAGACCTGTGAAGCAAACCTGAAAATGCAAAGGGATTGTCGTCTTCTTAGCAGTTTTTCAAAAGAGGTTAGCAGACTTGTTTGTGAAGCCACTTGCATTTATTAAGACGTGCTACAGAGAAGTCACAGATCAAGGAGCCGCAAGGAGAGACTGGTAATAAATAAAGTGATGATAATTATTATTATTATGTTAGTGGGGATACCACAGTGTTGGGGTGATTTCAAAAAGGAAAAAGCATTTCTAAAGTAAAGCAGCAGCAGCAGTAATTTTAACAGATCAGAAGCTTCTTGAGCACAACAGTTGAGCAAATGAGTTTCAGCAATTACAGGAGAAGAGTCAAGCTTTAAAAGTTAGAAGATGCTTTAAAAGTTAAAAGAAGACTTTATTGAAAGATCAAAATTTCTATATAGGAAAGTTGTGGGCTATTTCCATTTTATTGATTATTTGAAAACCTTTGATTGTGTGGATCAAAGGGTTCCACTCCTGAGGAATTTGTATAACGACCAAGTAGCAACAGGAAGAACAGACCATGGAACAACAGACTGGTTCAAGATTGGGAAAGGAGTACGGCAGGGCTGTCTACTCTCTCCCTCTCTATTCAACTTGCACGCAGAACACATCGTGCAATGTGCAGGGCTTGACTGATCCAAGGCTGGAGTTAAAATTGCTAGACTAAACATTCACAACCTTAGATAAGCAGATGATACCACTTTGATGGCTGAAAGCGAGGAAGAGCCGAGGAGCCTTTTAACCAAAATGAAAGAAGAAAGTGCAAAACCTGGATTGCAGTTAGACATAAAAAACCCCAAGATGATGGCAACCAGACTGATTGATGACTGGCAAATAGAAGGAGAAAATGTGGACACAGCAACAGACTTTGTATTTCTAGGTGCGAAGATGACTGCAGATGCAGAGTGCAGCCAGGAAATCAGAAGACGTTTCCTTCTTGGAAGGAGAGCAATGACCAATTTCAATAAAAGAGTGAAGAGGAGAGACATCGTACATAGATCCACATAGTTAAAGCAATGGTATTCCCCATAGTAGCATATGGATGTGAGAGCTGAACCATAAGGAAGGATGAGCGAAGGAAGAGAGGCACTTTGGATATGTGGTGCTGGAGGAAAATCCTGAGAGTGTTTTGGACTGCAAGAAGATCAAACCTGTCCATCCTCCAGCAAAGAAAGCCCGACTGCTCACTGGAGGGAAGGAGATTAGAGGCAAAGTTGAAGTACTTTGGCCACATCATGAGCAGACAGGAAAGTTTAGAGAAGACAATTATGCTGGGGGGAAAGGAAGGAAAAAGGAAGAGGGGCTAACCAAGGGCAAGATGGATGGATGGTATCCTTGAAGGGACTGGCTTGACTTTGAAGAAACTGGGGGTGGCCACGGCTTACAGGGAGCTCTGGCCTGGGCTGGTCCAGGAGGTCACAAAGAGTCGGAATCGACTGAACACACAAACAACAAAAAGGACCTGTCTGTCTGTCTGCCTGCCTGCCTGTCTGTCTATCTTCTCTCCATGCTCACAGAAGAAGAAAATGGAGGACTCAGGGGTTTGGCATGTGGCTGAAACATGAGGAAAGGGGCATGTCCGCCTACCTTCGTGACCGCATTTCCTACCACCAACCTGCACGATCCCTCCTTTTGCCCCTTCCTCTATCACAGCTATGACTTGTGGGAACAAGGGACAAAGCCTTCTCCACTGTGACCCCCCAGCTTTGGAACTCGCTACTGGTGAGATTAGGCAAACTCCCACCCTAGCAGCCTTTAAGAAAGATCTGAAAACTTGGCTTTTCCGATGTGCCTTTGGAGAGTGACCATAAATCCCATTTTTATTTATTCCATCTACAGTGTCGTCCTCATGATGCACTTTCCCCTGTCCTTAACAAAGACCCAACCCCATTGTTTGTCTTTTTGGACTCCTCCCTGATAAATACACTCCCTCACAAATACACTTTTTCCACTCCTATCTCATCCAGGGTTTTATCATTTTACTTTGTGCATTTGGCCCGCCCATTATGTTTAACTTTCTATTATGTTATTTTGCATTGTTTATTTTATCTTGTTCATTAAATATTTTATTGTGATGCAATTTTTTGTTGTCTTGTATTTTATTTTGCTGTATTGTATTTTTGGGCTTGGCCTCCTGTGAGCCGCCCCGAGTCCCCTATGGGGAGATGGTGGCGGGGTATAAATAAAGATTATTATTATTATTATTATTATTATTATTATTATTATTATTATTATGTCCCTGAGAAGTATCAGCCTAACAATCAGGAGATGGGAGGAAGAGAAGAGAGGCAGGGAGAGACAGGCAAAGAGGGCAATAGCAAAAGGACTTTCCCTGCCAGCTAACTCATCTGCCCATCTCATTGTTGAGGACTACAAACTTGTGCAGGATGTGGTTGAGTTCCAACAAATATGATACTTTTTTTGTTCTTATGACTTAAAAAATGAATGCGTTTAACATCATGGGAGGAAAAGAAATGCATGCCTCTGCACTACTGAAAAGTGCAGGGGGAGTCTTCTGGAAATCATATTTGCAAACAAGACCTTCCAAATTTTTACTGGAACTCAATCAAGCTTCACATTTTTGCCACAAAACTGACCTTGTTCAGGAGCGGAAACGAGAGCGGCGCCATTGTCGGACGTGAAAAACACAAAGGTGTCCTCGCTTATGCCCAGCTTTCGAAGGTGGCTCAGGATCTTCCCAACGCTGTAGTCAATTTCTCGCACCGCATCACCGTACCTGAGAGGGAGGAAGAAGAAATGATAAAGCAACAGATATGCTTTATATTCCTGTGTATTCCTATTGTAAAAAAAGTGGGCAGTGGAGAGAGGAAGTAAGTAAATAAGTTGTCGTCATAAGTGGGGTATTTATTTATCGTGTCAGAAGCAAGTTGACAGTACAGGTAAAATACATTTAAAAACACAAAGTTTCAAAAAAGAACTTGGCATGATGCCAAATGTCCTTTGACCAGAAGCTGGCAGCTTGGAGTGCCTCTGGTGTTGCTGTGAGGAGGTCCTCCATTTTGCATGTGGCAGGGCTCAGGTTGCATTGGAGTCGGTGGTCTGTGGTTTGCTCTTCTCTGCACTTGCACATACAATATGGTTTTCAAGGCAGCAGATTATAGGAGCTGTCTTCACAGATCTGTCAGCAGCTTATGACACTGTAAATCGTCACCTTCTTCTGAGAAAAACTTACATCTTGGAGAGTTCTTGGAGAGCAGGACAAGTCCCAGCAGATTGGAGGAGGGCAAATGTGGTCTCTATTGATTTTCAAGAAGGGAAACAAGGACGACCCAAACAATAACCAATGTCCAGTCAGCCTCACATTGATACCAGGCAAGATTTGGGTAAAAGATTGTTAAGGAAGTGGTCTGCAAACATGTAGAAATGAATGTGGTCATCACTTATAGTCAACACAGATTTATCAAAAGCAAATCATGCCAGACTAATCTGATCTCTTTTTCCAATTAAGTTCCAAGCTAGGTAGATGTAGGGAATGCCATGGATTGCGTGTATCTGGACTTCAGTGAGTCTGGTAAGGAAACTGGTCCAATGTGGGCTAGGCAAAACTACGGTGAGCTGGATCTGTAATTGGTTAAGCAAACAATTCTCCCCAATGCTTCCTCTTCATCCTGGAAAGAAGTGACGTGTGGAATGCCATCAGCAGGGTTACGTCCTGGGTCTGGTACTAGTCAGGATCTTTATTGATGACTTACGATGGTTGAATGAAAAGTAATGCCTCCACCTTCGTAACCCCTCAAGAGATGGCAGTACTGGTATGCGACAGGTACTGGCTTGTTCAGTAGACTCTCCTCTACAGTTCCATTTTGGCGGGAAGCATTAGCAATGAATGGTTGTGTTGTTAAAGTGCAAAGTATGGAACCCTGCACAGACGGTCGGTCAATGCGACTTAAGCAATGTACAGTCATTGAATTCTTGACAGAAGAAGGTGTCACCCTAAATTCATCAGAGATTCAGGAAATTCATCAGAGAATGCAAGCTGTTTATGGTTATTGTGTTGATGTGAGTACTGTGCATTGTTGGGCAAGAAAGTTTAAAGATGTTGAGGTGGGAACATCTGACGTGTGTCAAACAATGAGTTGGATGTCCTGTGACAGCAACCACCAAATTTCCCAAGCAAAAGGTTGACAGATTGATTCAGGACGATTGTCGTATCACTCAGAGAGAAATTTCAAGCATAATCGGCATTTCACAACAACGTGTGGGTCATATTATTGCTTTGCTTGGCTATCAGAAGACCTGTGCACGATGGGTACCCAGGATGTTGACGCCTGAAATGAAAGTGCTGTGCTTCCAGCCTCGGTGTGCGACAATCAAATTGTCTGGTGATTATGTGGGAAAGTGAAGAGTGGTAATTAAAGAATACATTCTAAGGAATATTTCTGTGTTTGATTTATTAAAATATTCCCATCCAAACCCAAGTAACGAAGTTGGAGGCATTACTTTTCATTCAACCCTCGTGCGCACGCGTGTGTGTGCAGTTTCTCAAGTCGCTTTTGACACACACAAAAACGTGTATATACTCAAGTATAAGCCAACCTGAATATAAGCCGGGGGGGGTTCAGCCTAAAAAATGTGCTGAAAACCTCGGCTTATACTCAAGTATATAATTTATTTGGCGTGTCAGAGCAACCAGTTAATTATATTACATTTCTAACAGAACAAAACAAACAAAGAGACAAAACACAAAATTGATTAAATGTCCTTTGACCAGTATCTGGCCACTTGGAGTGCTTCTGGTGTTGCTGCAAGAAGGTCCTCCATTGTGCATGTAGAAGGGCTCAGGGTGCATTGCAGCAGGTGGTCAGTGGTTTGCTCTTCTCCACACTCGTGGATTCCACTTTGTGGCCCCATTTCTTGAGGTTGGCTCTGCATCTCGTGGTGCCAGAGCGCAGTCTGTTCAGCCTTCCAAGTCGCCCAGTCTTCTGTGTGCCCAGGGGGGAGTCTCTCATTTGGTATCAGCCATTGGTTGAGGTTCTGGGTTTGAGCCTGCCACTTTTGGACTCTCGCTTGCTGAGGTGTTCCAGCGAGTGTCTCTGTAGTTCTTAGAAAACTATTTCTAGATTTAAGTCGTTGACGTGCTGGCTCAAGGGATGAGCTGGAGATGTCTCTGCCTTGGTCCTTTCACTATTGGCTGCAACTTCCCGGTGGATGTCAGGTGGTGCAATACCGGCTAAAGCAGTGTAATTTCTCCAGTGGTGTAGGGCGCAGACACCCCGTGATAATGCGGCATGTCTCATTAAGAGCCACATCCACTGTTTTAGTGTGGTGAGATGTGTTCCACACTGGGCATGCGTACTCAGCAGCAGAGTAGCACAGCGCAAGGGCTGATGTCTTCACTGTATCTGGTTGTGATCCCCAGGTTGTGCCAGTCAGCTTTCGTATGATATTGTTTCTAGCACCCACTTTTTGCTTGATGTTCAGGCAGTGCTTCTTGTAGGTAAGAGCACGGTCCAGAGTGACTCCCAGGTATTTGGGTGCGTTGCAATGCTCCAGTGGGATTCCTTCCCAGGTGATCCTCAGAGCTCGGGATGCTTGTCTGTTCTTGAGATGAAAAGCACATGTCTGTGTTTTAGATGGGTTGGGGATCAGCTGGTTTTCCCTGTAATAGGCAGTAAGAGCACCTAGAGCTTCGGAGAGCTTCTGTTCAACCATCTCAAAGCTCCCTGCTTGAGCAGTAATGGCACGATCATCAGCATAGATGAAACTCTCTGTCCCTTCTGGCAGTGGCTGGCCATTTGTGTAGATGTTGAACATGGATGGAGCAAGCACGCTCCCCTGAGGCAGGCCGTTCAAGTATATTAGAGATGTATTCATTATCAGCTTAAGACGAAACCTCTCAAGCACCTGTTGTTCTTTTGTGCTAAACTCACACGAATATAGACACACACTTGTAAATTCAAGCTCTCAATTGTTTTGGGTGAACCTTTCTTCGCACTGAATTTTGCTCCAGTGCAGGAGGAGTGCGAACAGTTTGGCTCTAAAAGCAGCATGACTTACCTCCCTCGTTGGCTGGAGCCCAGGAATGCCCTGGAGGCATAGACAGGTGCATGAGTGGCATCGATGGCCCAGTAGAGAAAGAAGGGCTGCTGCTTGGCTTGCTGGGAGCTCATGAAATCGAGGGCTTCCTGGAAATATCAAGAAAGATAGGATAGGAACACTGCTGGCCCATACAGAGACCCAACTGCAGAAAGTCCTTGAGGGTTCTCAAAGCCTTCTATTGGGATAAACATTACCTGTAAGTACATCTGAGTTAAGTTGGATTCCCCTGTCTTGTGATCGATTTTGATATCTTCATAATATCTAAAAGGGGAAAAAAACAGAGCTGGGGGAAAAACCAAGTAAATAGCACAGGAAGCAGCCATAAGAGACTACATCCCACTTAGGCACATGGCCAATACTGCGTTAAATAAAGAGGAACGCATTTCTCTCACTGCGAATAGGTTTTTCACATTTTTAATAGTTTCAATCTTCAATCCTATTTTAATGTTTGTATGTTTTTTAGGTTTTAAATTATATATTGTATTGTTTTTTGTGTATTTATTTATTTAGTTATTTAAAGCATTTATATTCTGCCCTTCCCACACAGAAGGGAACTCTGGGCAGAGCACAACATATAAATGCCAAACATTCAGTGCCGGGGCATAAATAAACTATACACATACATATTAAAATAATTTATCTCAACATTAAAATCAACTGTTTGTCTCTTTGGGTCTCTTTTTAGAGATAAAACAGGATAGAAATACTACTACTACTACTACTACTACTACTACTACTACTACTAATGATAATAATGTGTTGCTGTGAGTTTTCCGGGCTGTCTGGCCATGGTCCAGAAGCATTCTCTCCTGATGTTTCGCCCGCATCCTCAGAGGTGGTGAGGTCTGTTGGAAACTAGGCAAGTGAGGTTTATACACCCATGTAATAATGTCCAGTGTGGGAGAATAAACTCTTGTCTGCTTGAGGCAAGTGTGAATGTTGCAATTGCCCACTTTGGTTAGCACTGAATAGCCTGGTAGTTTCAAGGCTTAGCTGCTTCCTGCCTGGGGGGAATCCTTTGTTGGGTGGTTAGCTGGCTCTGATTGTTTTTTGTCTGGAATCCCCCTGCTTTTTTAGTGTTGTTCTTTAGTTACTGCCCTGATTTTAGAGTTTTTTCATACTAGTAGCCAGATTTTGTTCATTTTCATTGTTTCCTCCTTTCTGTTGAAATTGTCCACGTTTCTGGGTTTCAATGGTTTCTCTGTGTAGTCTGACATGGTGGTTGTGAGAGTGGTCCAGCATTTCTGTGTTCTCCAAGAATATCCTGTTTTCAAGTTGGTTCATCAGTTGTTCTGCTATGGCTGACTTCTCAGGTTGGATTAGTTTTCAGGGCCTTTCATGTTCCTTGATTCGTGCCTGGGCAATGCTGCTGCGTTTGGTGGTCCCTATGTAGACTTATCCACAGCTACATGGTATACGGGAGACTCCTGCAGAGGTGAGAGGATCCCTCTTGTCCTTTGCTGAACGTAGCATTGGTTGCATTTTCTTAATGAGTCTGTAGATCGTTTGTATGTTGTGTTTCCTCATCAGCTTCTATGCAGTCAGTGGTTTCCTTGATGTATGGTAAGAACACTTTTCCTCTGGATGGACCTTTGTCCTGACTCTCATGGCTTGTTCTTGGTCTTGCAGCTCTTCTGATGCCTGCGGTAGAGTCTCCATTGGCCTGTAGAGTCCAGTTTAGGTGGTTCCGTTCACCTTGGAGGAGGTGGGCTTCACAGATTCTTTTTGCATGGTCTGCCAGAGCTTTAGTTGTGCTTCTTTTTTTAATTGGGTGATGGTTGGAGTTTTTATGTAGGTATCTATCCATGTGTGTAGGTTTTCTGTAAACTGGGTGGCCATTGTTGACTGGGTTTGTGGATGACTAGGACATCTAGAAATGGCAGTTTTCCTTCATTATCTTTTTCCATTGTGAATTAGATGTTTGGTGGATGCTATTGAGTTGGTCCAGGAACTTGTTGAGTTCTTCTTCTCCATGGCTCCAAATGGTGAAGGTGACATCCACATATCGGAATCATGTAGTGGGCTTTTTTGTTGCTGTTTCCAGGGCTTGTTTTTCAAAGTGGATTTCAATGGCTTCTCTCTATAGTCTGACATGGTAGTTATCAGCGTGATCCAGCATTTCTGTGATCCCAAATAATGTGCTCTAAAAACTACCATATCGGACTACACAGAGAAGCCATTGAAATCCACAAGAAGCATGTGGTCAATTTCAACAGAAAGGAGAAAACCACAAAAATGAATGAAATCTGGCTGCCAGTATGTAAAAAACTCTAAAATCAGGACAGTAAATAAAGAGCAGTGCTCAAAAAGCAGGGGAATTCCAGACATGAATCAATCAGGGCCAACTAACACCACCCAACAAAGGAGTCCCCCAGGCAGGAAGCAGCCAGGCTTGGAAGCTGCAAGGCCATTAAATACTAATCAAGTTGATCATTGCAACATTCACACCTGCCTCAAGCAGACAAGAGCTCTTTCTCCCACCCTAGACATTCCACAGATATATAAACAAATATATAAACCTCACTTGCCTAATTTCCAACAGACTCCTCAACCACTGAGGACGCCTGCCATAGATAGATGTGGGTGAGAGAATGCTTCTGGAACATGGTCAAACAGCCCAAAAAACTCACAGCAGCATAATAATAATAATAATAATAATAATAATAATAATATCGTCATCAACAGGGGATTTCAGCCGGAGTTAAAATGTAGAAGGAGGAGGAGGGAGGTATGGTGCTTGCTAACTTCCAAATGATTAATTTTGCAACCTCGCAGTAGTTAATGGAGATCTCATTCATAATTCAGGGAAATTTCAGTGGGGACTTGCAAGCTCTCTGCGTCGGCGAGGTGGGATTTTCACAAGTTCACTTTGGGAGCCTGGTGTTGATGTGTGCAGGGATTTCTGGGAAAAGCCTCCCCAAGGAGCCCAGGAAGCGATAGGTCCCCTCCTCCAAGCCCACCTTCCTCTTACAGGAAAGGAAAGGAAAACACCCGCATTGCACACTCAGTCAGAAGAAAGGGCATCCGAGAGCAATGGAACGCTGAGTCTTCTATTACAGGAGAACTTAAAAACCACCAAATTAAAGCAAGAAGTAGTTAAGCACAATCAATAAGGTGGTGCAGGGAAGCAAAAGGGTAGAAAAGATAAAAGAGGCTACCTGCCAATCATTTCCCAGTCCCTATAAATGGGGATGTTTGGAGCGGCTTTGTTATCGTAAGGCCCGAAGTGGCAGTTGGGGGACCCGAACCATTCATCGAATCCGTGCCTCAAGGGATGGAACTGGGGCTGGTGCCCAAGGTGCCTGGAAAAGACCAACAGAAGGAACAGAAGAAAACAAAGATGGCTTTAACAGATTAGGGAGATGAGCCATGGCTAACTAAATCAGTGTTTCTCAACCTTCCTAATGTCACGACCCCTTAATACAGTTCTTCATGTTATGGTGAACCCCAACCATAACATTATTTTCATTGCTACTTCATACCTGTAATTTTGCTCCTGTTATGAATCATAATGTAAATATCTAAATATTTGCTACTGTTACGAATCATAATGTAAATATCTGATATGCATGATGTATTTTCATTCACTGGACCAAATTTAACACAAATACCCCATACGCCCAATTTTTAATACTGGTGGGATTGGGGGGATTGATTTTGTCACTTGGGAGTTGTAGTTTCTGGGATTTAGTTGCTGGGATTTAGTTGTAGTTCACCTACAATCAAACGTCACCAATGATGGAATTGAACCAAACTTGGCACACGGAACTCTCGTGACCAACTGAAAATACTAGAAGGGTTTGGTGGGCATTGACCTTGAGTTTTGGAGTTGTCATTCACCTACATCCAGAGAGCACCAATGACTGCTCTCTGGGTGCAGGTGAACTACAACTCTAAAACTTAAGATCAATGAGTCTGGATCAAACTTGGCATGAATACTGGGCCACTCTCAATCCCATGTCATGTGGGTGCTTTCCTCCTTGCCTTGAAGTGACTCAATGGTGTGAGCCTCCATCCAGCCTTGCCTGCTCTCCCTCGACCACACATGCTCACTATGCTGCCATGTGTTGAGCACACCTGCTCTCTCCTCCCCGCTTGGAGTCTCAGAAACAGCCCTCCCCTTACCTGAGAGGCCAGCGGAGAGGCTGGCCAATCACAAATTTTGGTGAGAGGGCTTTTGGTAGGAGGAGTCATCATCTATTTCCAAAAAGGAAGAGGAGGACAGGTGGAGAGATCTTCAGCCTTCTCTGCTAAAGGGGTTCCTAAGAGCATCAGAAATATATGTTTTCTGATAGTCTTTGGTGACCCCTCTGAAACCCCCCTCACCCCCCCTCGTGACCCCCCTCCCCCAGGGGGTTTCTGTCCCCCAGGCTGAGAATTGCTGAACTAATTGAACTCCTGCAGGAAAAAAAAAGTAAAGTGCTATACTTAAACAGAAAAAAATTGAAAGATGGGCTCAAAGCCAACCTTAAAAACTCTGGCATAGACACTGAGAACTGGGAAGCCCTGGCCCTTGAGTGCTCCAGCTGGAGGTCAGCTGTGACCAGCAGTGCTGTAGAATTTGAAGAGGCACGAATGGAGGGCAAAAGAGAGAAACGTGCCAAGAGGAAGGCGCATCAAGCCAACCCCGACCGGGACCGCCTTCCACCTGGAAACCAATGCTGTCACTGCGGGAGAAGATGCAGATCAAGAATAGGGCTCCACAGTCACCTATGAACCCACCAGAATACTGATCCTGGAAGACTATCCTACTCAGCTACGCCTAAGTAAATAAGTATTCATTCTTTTTATTTTAAAAAAATCTTGTAACCTGACTTTCTGGATAACCCTTGTATTTAGCTTGCAGAAGGGGAGATTGAGAGTGGATATAACAGAGTCCTAAGATGCAGCCAAGAATCCCATTGGTTTTTTTTAGCTTGTTTTAGCAAGAGTCTCCTGGAAACAGGCCAAACACAGGAGAGGATCCGTCTCTGCCCAATCCGCCGCTTCTCCTCCAAGCGCAGGTGTAATTAGCTTTCCACTGTTATGGCTCTGGGGTTATTCAAGAGTCGTTGCTTTCCAGATAACTCCCTGGAACCAATCTGCAGCAGGGTTGTTTATTCCCTTTCTTCAGGTGTATGAATCTGCATGCATTAGCACCTAGCTGCATCCCCTTTGCCTGCAGCCTACGGAGCATTACTCCCTCCCCAAATCCTTAGCAGTCTGGGTGGAAATAAATAATTCACAGCTCGGCCCTTTTGCTTTCTTCCTGCATTTCTGGAGGTGATGAACTCAGGTGAAGGGAGGTGTACTTGCATATTTGCAAATCCTTCTGGAATACAGACGTCTCTTTTTTCGTATGAATATTTCTGCATCTATTTTTATTCATTTTTGCGTACTTTGGGGATTTAGTATGCATTTTAAGGGTGATCTTCTTTCTTCTTAGGTGATCCCTTGTAACCCAAGGATGATGGCCCTCCAAGTATAGTGTCTTGGCAGTGGATATATAGGTGGCTGTGGAGTTCTCTTCTTGATGCGCACGTTCTTCCGCGGTGAAGATATCAGTTTCTAGGTGGAAGGCAGTCCCGGTCAGGGTTGGCTTCCTCTTGGCACATTTCCCCCTTTCCCCCTCCATTCATGCCTATTCGAATTATGCAGCACTGCTGGTCACAGCTGACCTCCAGCAAGAGCACTCAAGGGCCAGGGCTTCCCAGTTCTCGGTGTCAATGCCACAATTTTTAAGGTTGCCTTTGAGCCCATTTTTCAGTCTCTTTTCCTGTCCATCAACATTACGCTCCCTGTTCTTGAGTTGCAAGTATAATAACTGTTTTGGGAGACGGTGATTGGGCATTTGGACACCGTGGCTTTCAGTCCAGCAGAGTTGATGGCATAGAAGATTGCTTCTTCCAGCACACTGACATTTGTCTGCATGTCTTCCCAAGAGATTTGCAGGATTTTCTGAAGTCAGTGCTGATGGAATTGTTCCAGGAGTTGAGTGTGAAGTCTGTAGATAGTCCATGTTTCATGGGCATGTAGCGGAAATGGGTATGGGAGGACACTAGCTTTATAAACAAGCACCTTGGTATCCCTATGGATGTTCCGGTCCTCAAACACTCTCTGCTTCATTCGGAAAAATGCTGCACTCACAGAGCTCAGACAATGTTGTATTTCAGTGTCAGTGTTGACTTTTGTGGAGAGGTGGCTGCCAAGGGAGCGGAAATGGTCAACATTTTCTAATGTTACACCATTAAGCTGTATTTCTGGCATTGCAGTCGAACCGGAAGAGCACTTTGGTTTTCTCAATATTCAGTGAGAGGCTGAGCTTCTCATATGCTTCTGCAAAGGTGTTTATAGTAGCTTGTAGGTCTTCTTCTGAAAGTGCACAGACTACGTTATCATTGGCATATTGGAGTTCTATAGCAGATGTTGTTGTGACCTTGGTTTTGGCTGAGATTAAATAGCTTGCCATCTGTCTGATAGAAACAACTCCGGCCCATCAAAGTTATTAAAATTAAGCCGCTGAGGGGGAAAAGGAAGGGGCCTGAGGCTGTTAGGAATGGTGGGAGTTGAAGTCCAAAATACCCAGAAGGCCAAAGTTTGCCCAGGAGAAGAAACAAGGAAGAGAGCTGCCACTTCTGGTCTTTACACTTTCTCTCTCTCTCTTTTGCTCCCTTCCAAAGTGGCTTGGAAACCACGCTTGCTTCTGCCGCAGCTGCTGTGTGCCTTTCCTTAACAACCCTGATTGATATAAAAGAACTGTTTTCGGTGGCCCTGCCGTTTCCCTTGTTAACACCTGCGCCTGCCGCACCGCTGAGGGTTGTCATCAATTTCAACGATCCGACTCTTAGCTCTCTTAAAAGAGCTCCAGGGATGCTGCCCAAGCAGATTGCGGGTCAATATTTGCTCACAATCTCTCCATTTACCCTCTGCCCATCTAGATTACGCTCTGGTTCCCGGAAGAGGGCCAGCATCAGTCCTATATCTTTCTTTCTTTTCCTTTCTTTCACCTGACATATATATTAGCAAGATCACGAAATACGCATATTAAAGTAACTAACTGGACCCCCGTTAAGGAATGGGTAAAATAAAATAATATCAAGATATTAATATGAACAGACTGAAAAGGAAGAAAAAAAAATCAATAATAAATTATATATCAATAGGAAAAAATCCAGAAAATTACCGACAATGAAAAACAGGAAAAGGAACATTTTGGAAGAATTTTCTTAATTTCTCTCTTGAATGCCATGATAGAGAAGAGTGGGAGTTTCAAATACCCACCCACTTTTTTTCCCCTCTTTTCCCTTTTTCCTCTCCCCCTCTTTTTTTCTTCTTATTTTCTCTTTCTCTTTTTAAAATCCTTGATTTTATAAACCCATTCTGAGAAAATCCTCTGTGTGAGAGGGCCTCAGTGGGAAAAAGGTCTCAGTGTGAGGTAGGCCTCAGTATGAGAATGCCTGGTGTGAGAAGGTTTTGGTGACAAAAGCCCCAGGTTGAATGCCTTGTGTGTAAAGCTCCAGTATGACGGCTGATGTATGTCAGCCTATGATTGTGTCTTATGTTCATGTTGATTTTCATGATGGGAATGGTGTTCCTGATGGTGGGCCTGGCTCTGTTGGCAATGGGGATGAGGGTTTGCCTGGGTCTGAGTTAAGCTCAGATGAGAGGCCCAAGCTGTCTCAGAAAGATTCATAAGGTCACATTCCTGAGAGGGGCTTTTCATGGTCTTTCCCAGAGGAAGTGTCTGAGGATGATTTGTCAGGTGCAGAAGTTAATGAGATAGAAAGTGAGGCTTTTGTAAATAGAGACAGAGTGCTCAAGCACAAAGAAGATAAGTTTGTTTACAAGAAAAGAGACATAAACAACTCTTAGGGTCTAAGGTCAAGAGAAATGCTTTCCTTTCAGTTTTGGGATCTGGAAAAGCTTTATATTGATTCATGGGAAAGAGTTGCCTTAGTTGGGTCAACGTTGGAATTTCAAGATGATCTTGCTTTCAAGTGTTCTTACTTTCGTGTACCAAGTTTTTGCCAAGCTCCTATTTTGRGTGTTGGATGTTTTCATGCTCCCTTGATTCGTGGATTCCTGTACTTTATTTTATGGATTTTTGTATCTTTCTTTGCCTTGAAGTTCATGGATTATTCTGTTTTGCAACTTTACAAMTTTTGCTAATTTTACTGCTTTGCCTACATATATTCTTCAATAAACTGCTTGCTCTTGTATATGACATCCTCAGTGTTAGCAGCTCTCGCTCTGTGAGAGGTCTCTYTGGAAGAAGAGCCTCAGTGTGTTAGTAGGCCTCAGTCTGAGAAGGCCTCAGTGTTAGTTCGCCTCAATCTGAGAYAAGCCACTGTGTGAAAGGGCCTCAGTGTGAGAAGGCCTCAGTGGGAGAAAGGCCTTAGTGTTAGTAGGCCTCAGTATGTGACGGCCTGATGTGAGAAGGCTTCGTTGAGAGAACCCCCAGGTGGAAGGCCTCATGTGTAAAGCTCCAGTATGAAGGCTGCTGTGTGCAAAAAGCTACTATGTGAAGCTCCTGTGTATGTTTAATGTGAGAAGAGGCTCTGTGAGAGTAAAGCTGTTCATCTACGTGAGAAAGAAGCCCAGCATGGAAGCAAAGGAAGTATAAAGATCTTTATCTGTGTTATGGAAACCTTGTTTTTGTAAATAGTGCAACCAGATTTTGCTATAAAGAAAAGCTTCTTAAGGAAGATAAAATACTTTTGGCTACTGGCGTTGGGTCACACTGCTACTGAGAAGTTACTCTGCTGTGCATTTATGAGGAGGGTCTTTTGGTAATAAGCCCACTCACCCAACAGAAATCTCCCAAGCCACCCAAGCAGGAGCGAAAAGGAACATGGACATATAGCCCAGAAAACTCACAGTGACCCATGAAAGCCTTTGACAACACGTTCAATAAAATAAACTATACTAGCCAATTCCTAGGTCTCAAGTTGCTCAAACTCTCATTGTTCCACATACACATCTCAGTTTCTGCACACGCCCCAAAGAAGACATTCAAAAGAAAGTTTACCATTTGCCAACTATCTTATTGGCATAGCCTGCTTTCTTCAGCAGTTCGGGAAGGAGCAGTTCAGAATCCGGGATGCCCCCCGTTATATCCTGGGGGGTATAGGCTGCATTAAGAGAAGAAGATGTCAAAGGGATTAGCAGGCAGGTTGCAGGAGCTTTCCACCTTAACAGGATTCCTCGACCTTGCTCTGCACTAAGCTTAGCTTAGGGGAGTTCGAAGACCTGAATGAGACTTTGAAACCAGAGGCAAGGAAGGGAAGGCTGATTGGGGATTAGTGACATGGAGGCTCTGATACACCACACTCAGCTAGAGCACACTTCTAGCAACTGGAATGTAGCTTCTGTGCTGATCACAAAGAGCTTTGCAGTCCAAGATACCCTGGTATTTTGAGCTTCTGAGCTTTCTGCTTAATGGAACGTGGCCCTTTAAGGATCCTTCCACACAGTCATAGAACCCAGAATATCAAGGCAGAAAATCCCAAAATATCTGCTTTGAACTGGGTTATCTGAGTCCACACTGCCATATAACCCAGTTCAAAGCAGATAATGTGGGATTTTCTGCCTTGATATTCTAGGTTACATGGCTGTGTGAAAGGGCCTTAAGTACTTCTTAAGTTGGCAGAAAGAGTTTCTCCTCCTATATGAAGCAGAATCCCAAATGCAGTCCCAAACATTCCTTATTTAGAGCCAGCAGCAGATCTGGAATAGCTTCTGCCAACCTAGCCATTCCAAAACATGCAAATGTGAGTAGATCAATAGGTACCGCTCCGGCAGGAAGATAACGGTGCTCCATGCAGTCATGGTAGCCACATGACCTTGGAGGCATCTATGGACGATGGCTCTTCAGCTTAGAAATGGAGATGAGCAACACCTCCCAGAGTCACACATGACTAGACTTAATATCAGGGGAAAGCTTTTCAAGGGGTCGTTCGTTAAAGATTTCCCCTGACCCACTTCCTGTGGACTGAGAGCAATGAAACTTGGCCCAGTTCTGAGTCCTTCTCTCCATGGGTGCCACCTAGAGAGACACACTTCTCCCATCTTTTGAAGCCACTGTCAATACCTCGCTTGTAGAAGTCGACAGGTTGCTCCAAAAACCATGTTGTGACTTCGGAAATAAGAGTTTCATCATCTGACAAATGCTTGGCCTTCAAAAATAACTTCCTTGTTGGAAAGAGATTGAACTCCAGTGGTGCGAGATTGGGGGAATAAGGGGGATGCGGTAGAATTTCAAAGCCACAGGAGCATGCTTCTTCCATTTGGGCAACATGGGCATTGTGAACCGGTTCATTGTTTTGAGGAGGGCAGATACCTTTGGTGAGTATGCCACATTGTCTCTTGGTTTTGATGGCCTCCCACAATTTCCACAGCAGTGAAGCCAAGTCTGCCCCAGTGATCATGGCCCCCTTTGCTAGGAAATCCATCCGTACTACTCCGTGCTGGTCCCAAAATACTGTGAGCATGACCCTGAATGCCGCGAGTTGGGCACATGCCTTCTTTGGAGGCAGTGAGTCAGGATGCTTCCATGACTTCGGCTGGACTTTAGTCTCAAGTTCAGAGTGATGGACCCAGCTTTCACCCTGTGTGATCAGTCTGTTGAAAAAGTCCTCCTGGTTTCCATGGCACATCATTGTCAAGAGAGCCTGAGAGCATTCGACTCTTCCCTGTTTCAGGAAAGGTGTGAGGACCCAGCGAGCAGATACCTTATGCATGTGAAGATAGTCTTGGATGATTTTTTCTATAGACCCCACACTCATCTTGACATTTTGGGCTAGGTGGCGAATGGTTATGCAACAATTTTCCAAAATGGCGATCACCACTTGCTAGATGGCGTATTCATCAATGGCAGAGTGGGGCCACCCTGGAATTGGAGCTATTTGCACTGAAGTCCGACCACATCAGAATTGATGATGCCAGTTCTTGACTCCATCATCTGATGGGGAATCCTCACCATAAACCTCTTTCATCTCAGTGAATGTCTCCTTTGATGCGCGGCCTTTCAAGTAAAGGAACTTGATTGCTCTGTCTTCCACTGGGTCCATTCTCAAACCTCACACCACTTCAGCACTTGTCAAATCAAGACCATTCTCAGTTCTGGGTTGTAAATTGGCACCTATAGAGACTTATATCACACAGGCAGTTTCAGTGTCCTGCGATAAATAGAAGTGAGTCAGGGGAAATCATACTTTTTATATAGTATTATTTAAAGGGAATAGGATAATAAGGTGTAAAAATAAATAAACAATGAGAATAGTTTTGTAGCGTTGTGTTTGATATGGTTTCAAAACTGTCACATTTTTAGTATTACAATTATTTTCTGCTTTCTTTGTATTGTCTTATTTGTTTATTTATTTATTTCTCAATTTCAAAACTCCACATATGATTTAGATGGCATTTCCTCTACCATTCAAGTGAAGGGCACAAGAACCTGGCTTGGGACTGCTAGATGATTTTTAAATTCTGTGTGCATTCTTCTGTTGTTTGCTTGCACTTCTCCTAGACAAGTCAGCAAAGAGATAAAAATGCCCATGCTCGACAGTGTGCCGTGTGCATCAATCCGGAGTTGTAAATGCATGCTCTGAAACATATGGTCTCCTACAGCATCTGCCATTTTGGAACAAACAACGCTCACAACCACCAAACCCGGCTTCAAATCAGCTCAAGCTGCCACCTCCTGACAGGAACAGCAGAGCACAGCTCGCTTTTGTGGACAGCCTGGCCACGGCGCCCTCCAGATCCCCTTGCCCATCTCTGGAGGAGGAACATATTTTTATGGGAGACGATTTCAAACAGACAGTTAGCCAACAAACAATGATCTTCCTCCCCTTCTTTTTGCTGAAAGTCAGTTAACCCATCCGAAGAACTCTTTGAAGCAGAGGATTGGGAATTTGCCTTATGGCAACAACATTTTGAGATTCTGGGGGAGACTCAGATTTGGAAATTCAGGGCTACGACTCATGCATCTTCTGTTGGGTAATTTCAAAAATGAAAAAAGCAATTTTAAAGGTAAAGCAGCAGCAGCAGCAACAACAACAACAGTATAGCACAGTGTTTCTCAATCGCCCTAATGCTGCGACCCCTTAATACAGTTCCTCATGTTGTGGTGACCCCCAACTATAAAATTATTTTCTATAAATAGAACTCTAAATCCCAGCAACTACAACTCCCAAACGGCAAAACCAACCCTGTCAACCCACCGGTATTCAAATTTGGGCGTATGGGGTATTTGTGCCAAATGTGGTCCAGTGAATGAAAATACATCCTGCATATCAGATATTTACATTATGATTCATGGCAGTAGCAAAATTACTGTCATGAAGTAGCAACAAAAACAATTCTATTGTTGGGAGTCAACACAACATGAGGAACTGTATTAAAGGGTCGCAGCATTAGGAAGGTTGAGAAACACTGCCCTACATCCATTCCCTTTTTTCAAATTATAATCTAATTCAAAAGGATAAACACCAAGGACTTTTAGGAGTGACAGGTTTTCTTCTTTGCCACTGGAGCAACAATTCTCCTTTTAAGCAAGATACAGGGTTTCTCTTACTCTCTCCATCACCTTTTCTTGTTTTGTGGCCTCCCCCCCCCCCCTTTTATGGAAGGAACAGTTTGAAAACTAAAATGTTGGTTTGCAACAAAGGAAAACATACCATTCCTGGCATGGGCGTTTGTGGTGTAGAAGCCGTTCCTGATGGGGAGGCGACCTGTTAAAAGGGCTGCTCTGGCTGCAGAGAGATTTTTAAAAAATGAATAATTATGTACATGAACCATACTGACCACCGAATGCAGTTTGAAACCAGTTATATGTAGAATCATAGAGCTGGAAGAGACCTCGTGGGCCATCCATTCCAACCTCCTGCCAAAAGCTGGAAAATTGCATTCAAAGCACACCCAACAGATGGCCATCCAGCCTGTTTGAAAGCCTCCAAAGAAGGAGCCTCCACCATACACCAGGGCAGAGAGTTCCACTGCTGAACATGTCTCATTCCTCATATTCAGGTGGAATCTCCTTTCCTGTAGTTTGAAGCCATTGTTCCATTGTGTCCTAGTCTCCAGGGCAGCAGAAAATAAACTTGCTCCCTCCTCCCTATGACTTCCCCTCACCTCTTGATACATAGACCTTTCATGCCTCCTCTCAGCCTTCTCTCGGGAAGGCTAAACATGCTCAGCTCTTTAAGCTGCTCCTCACAGGGCTTGTTCTTCAGACACTTGATCATTCTAGTTGCCCTCTTTCTCTGGTCACATTCCAGCTTAGAGTCAACATCTCCCTTCAACTGCAGTGCCAAGAGTTGGCCACAGCTGTGTGTATTCCAGCTGTGTGTATTTTCACCTCAACATAGAACATGGCCATACAGCTCAGAAACTACACAACACCCCAATGATTCCAGCTATGACAGCCTTTAAAAATATTATTATAATTATTATTATCTTCTTCTTCCTCCTCCTCTTCTTTATCATAATCTTTTCCCCCCCAAAGACAGAAGAGGCGGACAGTACGTGCGGTGAATTGTGTCCGAATACCACACTGCTGTCATGTAAAACATGAGAAACGTGTTCATGATTCACATCACAAGCATGGCATGAATCAAGCCCAGCGTTGGGCGCCTTGACCATGTTTCACATGACTTTATGATGCTGACATTAACTCACATGGAGAACAGAGTGGGTTGGCAGTGTAGAAACTCGGGAAGAGCATCCCTTCTGCAGCCATCTGGTCCAAATGGGGAGTTTCCTTGGAAGGCTGCCCGAAGACGCCTAGGTCACCCCAGCCCATCTGGAAGAAGAAGAGAAATAATATTGGTGTCTTCATTTTGAGGCCTATTCCTGGGGTTCTTTGGTGTTCTGATTCAGAAAGCTGTATCGGATAGACTGCATCCGCTCTAATTTCTTGGATAGGGTTATCCTGGTGTTCTATGGGCAACTGGTAAATACCATTTGTTCTGTATCATCATCAATATAAATCTTTATTACAGTCCAAAGACCCAATTTACTCAGCAAAAAAAGTGCACAACAGATCCATAAACCAATGAAACCACTTAAAAACAGGATGGGTGCAATCCTAGATGCATATGAATAAGGGTAAAACACTGCAAATATATACAAGGCGAGTTTCAACCAGCATCTAATACAGGAAGTATCTAATCCTGGCTACCTCGGATAAAAACTTGGCAACAGTTGAGGTCACTTGGGGGAAATTGTCACCTAATAAAAACCTTACTTGGAATTGGGCCGATCTATTGGGTAAGTTACTCAGTAGTAGGTTAATAATATATAGCTGAGCCTGCTTGTAAAAACTGCAGGATAATACGATGCGATACATACATTCACCATCCTGGTTATTATGTGGGCAAAGTCTTTTATTGAATGGGACTCCCTCCCACAAATCTTCCTCGAAGCACTTTGGATAGGAACACATGGCACCTTGCCTTGGAGAATAGGCAGCGCTGTTTGTCCACAGCCAAGTTCTGAGGATAATTTGCTTTATGAAAAGGCCCAGCATAATGTATGCTCAGGGCACTTGGGGAACAAGAAACATATGAGTGAGAAGGCAGCTCACAGAAGGCAATGTCCCACGGTCTTTGTTTAATAGATTTAAGTGTCATGTCAGACCCCAGATGAGATAAGAGGGATGAAGAGAGACTGATAGAGTAGATAAAGAAAAATGGGTGCCATTTTTTGAATCCACAGGTCACATAGACCCAGAAACAGGGCTAACCTTTGAGACACCAAAAAGATATTTTGGCCAGTGTTATTATTAAACATTATTACTATTATTATGTTTATTTATATCCCACTTTTTCTCTCCATAAGGAGACTCAAAGTGGCTAACATTAAAAACATTTCAATACAATTTAAAATATACAAATATTAAAACAATATTAAACATCATTAGTATTTAAAAAACAATTCAGATTAAATCAATTTATATGCATGTATAAGTAGCTCATATTTTCCTTCCTCAGCTTCAATAGTTTAGATGTTTTTATTTTATATATTTAATTTAATTCTGTTTTAATTAATGCTCATATGTTTTTGTTTAGAATTTGGGTGTTTAAAAATTATAATAATTTTAACACTGTTAGATGCTTTGAGTCTCTTTTAAGACAGTTAAAATGCAAGATATTATTATTATTATTATTATTATTATTATTATTATTATTATTAACAATAATGAAAAAATTAATTATCAAAGCAGTCATCTTTGTAATAGCTCCAAGGAACTTTTCCAAACTCTGTCAGGCTGAGGGGGGCACGCAAATCTTCCCAATTTTCTATCAGATACCCCCGGTGGAGCAATGGGTTAACCCTTGTGCCGGTAGAACTGAAGTTGGAGGTTCGCATCCAAGTAGAGTGCGGATGAGCTCCCTCTGTAAGCTTCAGCTCCCAATGCATGGACATGAAAAAGGATGGTAAAACAGCAGAACATCCCACAAGGATGGTAAAACAGCAGAACATCCGGGGATCCCCTGGGCAACATTCTTGCAGATGGCCAATCCTCTCACACCAGAAGCAACTTGCAGTTTCTCAAGTCACTCCTGACATGGAAAAAAATCAGACAATATTATTACTATTAAGAGATTCTAAGGGAAAGCAGGATATCAATCTATATAAATAAAAATGTAATGTTCGTTTGTGGGATTAACATAACTCAAAAACCAGTGGACGAATTGGCACGAAATTTGGACAAAATACACATATTAGGCCAACGAGTGACCATCACTCATAAAAACACTGAAAAACACAGCAGAAGGGACTTAAAAGTCAAAAAAGCAAAAAGACGCTACAGCGCATGCGCAAAAATGACTCCCCCAGCAAACAAAACACGCAATAGCATATCCACACTCTCTTCTGGACCACAGCTCCCAGCATCCCCTAGACCAGGTCCTTTAGGAGAGGAGGATGATCCAAATGCACTGCTTCCAAGCTGCAAGCTGTCTTCTCCTTGGATTTCTTTGGGAGCATCCCAATCCCTGCATATTTCCAATTTCCTATTCCTGGAATGCAACTCCCAGCAATCCTCCAGATAGAGAGATTCGATAGAGATAGATAGGTAGGTAGGTAGATAGATCTATGCTGGGAGTTGCAGTCCAAGAATAGGTAGAGAAGGAAGAAAGAGGAGAAAGAGGAGGGGAAAGAAAAACTGGGGGGGGGGAGAAAGGGAAGAAGAAGAGAAGGAAGGAGAGAAAGAAAGAAGAGAAAGAGGGAGGGAAGGTTGGCCACAGCAACATGTGGCAGGTACAGCTAGTAATAATTAATTATTAATATTAAAAATATTAATATGATAATAATAATAATCATAATAATAATAATCTGCCTTTTTTCTATTAGAAGTGACTCAGGCTTTGTTCCTATAAGTTCTGAAGGACACTGAATGATATTCACATGAATGTGATTCATTCTGAGTAATCCAAACACAGCAACAGGGCTTTAAATAATTCATGCTTAAATCAAATTAATAATAACAATAGTAATAAGAACTATTATTATTATTATTATTATTATTCAGTCATATTAAAACAATTCTCCAGCAGAGCTTGGGAAAATTACTGTTCTTGGGGATTCTGGAACAAATAACTTTCAAATTCCTTTTGTGACACTTCTCCTTCTTTCTGTCTCCAATTATTACCCTTTATAATAGACCTTCATAGACCTTATGATACAGTAAATCATTGCCTCCTCCTGAAAAAAAAAAGAATAACATCACAAAGGATTACCACCTTCCCAGCTTCATAGGAAATCTGGTACAAAACAGGAGCTTTTTTGTTGAGTTCCAGGGCCAGAGAAGCAGATGGCAAAAACAGAACAGCCTGCTTCAGGAGAGCGTGCTTGCTCCATCAATGTTTAACATTTATACAAATGACCAGCCACTGCCAGAAGGGACAGAGTTACATCTATGCTGATGATTGTGCCATCATTGCTCAAGCAGAGAGCTTTGAAATAGTTGAACAGAAGCTCCCTGAAGTTTTAGGTGTTCTTACTGCCTATTACAGGGAAAACCAGATTATTCCTAATCCATCTAAAATGCAGACATGTGTTTTCACTTTAAGAACAGACAAGCATATCAAGGTCTGAGGATGACCTGGAAGGAATCCTACTGGAGCATTGCAGCACACCCACACACCTGGGAGTCACTCTGGACTGTGTTCTGACTTATAAGGAGTTTTTAACTATCAAGCAGAAACTGGGTACTAGAAATGATATCATACGAAAGCTGACTGGCACAACCTGGGGATCACAACCAGACACAGTGAAGGCATCTGTCCTTGCCCTTTGCTATTCTCTTGCTGAATACGCATGCCCAGTGTGGAATATATCTCACCACATTGAAACAGTGGATGTGGCTCTTAAAGAGACATGCCACATTATCACAGGATGTCAATCAATCAATGATTTATTACGGTCTTTGACCAGCACAGTATAAAATGGGGCACAGGTGCCCAAGGAAGGGAATCGCAGTTCCCAAGTAGGTCAGATAAAAAGCAGATTAAAAACATGTTATAAAGGAGACAGATTAAAACGCAGACTAAATTTACAGTTTAAAGTGCATGTATGAGACTAAAATAGGGCGGCGGCTAATAACAAATATCAGACAACTGGGAAGCTCTAAAAAGGGATGAGAGGGGAGCATTTACAGCATTTCTGTTATTACAGGATGTCTACGTCCCACACCACTGGAGAAATTACATTGTTTAGCCCAGTGGTTCTTAACCTGTGTGCTATGGACCACCAGTGGGTCGCGAAGACGAAAATCTGGTCTGTGAGAATCTGGACCTTCCTCTTTAATTATTTTATTTATTTATTTTATTTCTGCTCCTTTTGCACTGCCTGCCACTCCTTCCCTGTTGCTGACCATGGCATATGCTCTGTATCAGAAACTAGAGCTGATATGGTATATCCAATGCAATTTTCTGAATCAGCACTCCAAACCAAATCTAAAGTTTGTTACAGTAAGTCGTAGCAGGATCAAGTGTGTGTTAAAGAAAAACCTTATGATGTTAATTACTATGTGCAGCTGGTAATGTAGGTCAGCCAGCATGTTTGGGCCACACCCGGTGGGGTATAACTGTATGGATTTTAGAATACAGTTTGGAGAAGCAATATGCTGTAATGCTGCTATGCTCTAACAGCGATGCTCTTTGCTATGGTGGAATAGATATTTACTCAAGGTTTATGTTTTGGCTCTCTCATTTGAATGAAAATGAAGAAGCCTTATTCTGTATTACTTACAAGGACTATGTAAGTTTGTTGCACTGTTTGATTTTGTATGCAACACTGTAAGTTCATGTTTCTGTTGATAAGAGTAAAGTTTTTCTGTTCTTTCTTCCTCTTGCCTGTGTATCTTCTGCATGGGACTTGGCTAAAATTCGCTTCTGGACAACGAAGTTGACCAAAAACTGATTTGTAACCCTTTTGGTACTAATGTTGGAGAGTGATCTCTGGTCAAAATGGTCCCTGGTCAAGAAAAAGTTGGGAACCACTGGTTTAGCCGGTATTGCATCACCTGACATCCATCGGGAAGTAGGAGCCAGCAATGATAGGACCAAGGCAGTGACATATTCACCCCATCCTCTGTTTGGACACCAGCCAGCAAGCCATTGCCTTAAATCAATTAATAGCTTCCTAATTTATTTATTTACAGTATTTGTATACCGCTTTTCTCACCCCAAGGGGGCCTCAAAGCTTCCTAAGATCTACAGAGATATCCGCAGGAACACCTCGGCAAGCGAGAATCCAAAAGTGGCAGGCTAGAACCTGGAAGTTCAATAAGTGGCTGAGACAAGATGAGAAACTCCCTCACTGAACAGACTGTGCTCTGGCACCACGAGATGCAGAGCCAACTTTAAGAAATGGGGCCACAAAGTGCAGCCCACAACATGCAAGTGCGGAGAAGAGCAAACCACAGACCACCGATTACAATGCAGCCTGAGTCCTGCCACACGCACAAGGGAGAACCTTCTCACAGTGACACCAGAGACACTTCAAGTGGCCAGCTTCTGGTCAAATGACATTTAATATAATGCCAAGCTCTTAACTCTCTACCCTTGGTTTGCTTCTGACACGATAAATAAATAAAATCTTTATGAGTCCAATTCTTGGAAAAGTTACTTTTTCAGACAGTTAGGAAGCATGCTTTTTAGGGGGATGCCCCTACGCTGGGAGTTGTAGTCCAAAGAAGTAACTTTCCCAAGTTCTGGGGTTCCATTATGGGCCTCCTCCCTTTCCTTTCCTGTCCTTCCCAACGTGTTGAATGACTCTGAACTTGGAAAAGTTACTTTTACAATTAGGAAGCATACTTTTTAAGGGGATGCCCCTACACTGGGTGTTGTAATCCAAAAAAGTAACTTTCCCAAGTTCTGGGGTTCCATTATGGGCCTCCTCCCTTTCCTTTCCTTTGCTGTCCTTCCCAACGTGTTGAGTGACTCTGAACTTGGAAAAGTTACTTTTTCAAGACAGGTGCAATTAGGAAGCTTACTTTTTAGGGGGTTGCCCCTACACTGGGTGTTGTAGTCCAAAAAAGTAACTTTCCCAAGTTCTGGGGTTCCATTATGGACCTCCTCCCTTTCCTTTCCTGTCCTTCCCAACGTGTTGAATGACTCTGAACTTGGAAAAGTTACTTTTACAATTAGGAAGCATACTTTTTAAGGGGATGCCCCTACACTGGGTGTTGTAATCCAAAAAAGTAACTTTCCCAAGTTTCCATTATGGACCTCCTCCCTTTCCTTTCTTCTCCTTCCTAACTTGTTGAGTGACTCTGAACTTGGAAAAGTTACTTTTACAATTAGGAAGCATGCTTTTTAGGGGGGGCGCCCCTACACTGGGTGTTGTAGTCCAAAAAAGAAACTTTCCCAAGTTCTGGGGTTCCATTATGGGCCTCCTCCCTTTCTTTTCCTGTCCTTCCCAACGTGTGGAGTGACTCAACTTGGAGAAGTTACTTTTTCTGGACTACAATTCCCAGCGGCCCCTACCCTAAGGCCTCTTCTCCCTTCAAACAGACTATATTCCCGACTCACATCGTCCATAAGCAGCAGGACAAGGTTAGGCGAGGTAGCATTGCTTTTCCCCTCCGCCAGGCTCCAAATCTCGACTAGGCCGCAAAATAGTATTAACAGTACTGTCGCCATGGCAACAGCAGCGCCCTGGAATGCCAAGGAGCTTCTGAAAAGGGGAAAGGGGTGCCGGCAAAGAGGGAGGGAAAACCATCACCGGGACTGTAGTAACACTTCCGGCTCTCCATTGACGGTGCGGGGTACAAGGGTAAAAATGAGAGAGGCGGCGTCTCTCTTGCCCCGCACATGGCGGCGGCGGTCAAACAGAACCCGGAAGTTTAAGCTGCCTCCCTGATCTCTCTCTTGAGGGACAGACTCGGGGAGTGATGCGAAGCGGAAATAATGGCATCACGCCGCGCTCATTGGCTGCCTGGGATCACGCGGGCGGAAGTAAGGGCAAAGGAAGAGAAGGGGAAAAGGCCGCCATTAGCCAAGATGGCGGTGTGCATTGCTGTCATCGCCAAGGAGGTGAGGAAAGGGGCCTGGCTTGGATTTGGGGGGCTTCTCGTGGCAAGTGAGGGTATTATTTGTCGTGTCAGGGCAACCAGTCGATTATATTACATTTCTAACAGAACAAAGCAAAAAAAAAACCAGACGAAATACAAAATTTGTGAGATTGGTACTTGATTAAATGTCCTTTGACCAGTATCTGGCCACTTGGAGTGCTTCCGGTGTTGCTGCAAGAAGGTCCTCCATTGTGCATGTGGCAGGGCTCAGGTTGCAATGCAGCAGGTGGTCAGTGGTTTGCTCTTCTCCACATCGCATGTCGTGGATTCCACTTTGTAGCCCCATTTCTTAAGGTTGGCTCTGCATCTCGTGGTGCCAGAGCGCAGTCTGTTCAGCGCCTTCCAAGTCGCCCAGTCCTCTGTTTGCCCAGTGGGGAGTCTCTCATTTGGTATCAGCCATTGATTGAGGTTCTGGGTTTGAGCCTGCCACTTTTGGACTCTCGTTTGCTGGGGTGTCCCAGCGAGTGTCTCTGTAGATCTAAGAAAACTATTTATAGATTTAAATTGTTTTTTTTTATAAATAGTTTTTATTAATTTATAATTTAAAAAGATGGAGCAATACTGCTCCCATCTAGTACATACAAACATATATAATGTAACAATGTAACGTATATAACATATAAGGTACCCTCATGTTGTACAAACTAAAGTTTTCTTTCTTCTATCGTCTCGTGATTCACCTTTTGTAGGGGGCCGCTGTTCGTTATCCCTTCCCCCCTCCCGGTCCCTCCCCCCCCCTTACTCTATTGTGTTTCATCCTTGACAAACAAACATAAAGACACATAGTAGACCTACAAACATAAATAACAACTATGTACATCTCTTGACTTCCAGGGTATTTAAGCGTGTCGTTCCTTGTATCTTTTGTAATTATCTTAGGTCTATGTTGGTCGGATACTCTTTTGTTTGGTTACTATTCTTTGGGTTTTCTCCTTCTTTCGTATTCTATTCTTGTTTCTTGTTATACTTCTTCAGAAAGGTTATGAATTTGTTCCAGTCAGTGTTTTCTCTTGTCAATTCATTTTTCCTTAATTTCTGAGTTAGTAAGTCCATGTTCATAATATCCATGGATTTGCTTATCCACTGACTAAAGTCTGCTGTTTCTTTGTTCTTCCATAAGCGGGCCACACTGATTCTCGCTGCCGTGGTGAGGTAGAACATGATTTTTTCGTCGTTCTTGTTCATGGTTGGGTCATTCAGTCCCAGCAGAAAGTGTTCCGGTTTAAAATCCAATTTGATTTGTAGTATTTCTTTTATTTTGTGGTGCACTACCTTCCAAAATTTCCTAATGATCTTACAATCCCACCACATGTGTCGAAAGGTTCCCAATTTCTTTCGACATCGCCAACACTTTTTATCAGATCTTCCTTTACTATATTTCGCTATTTTTTCTGGTGTCTGATACCAAAGATAAAACATTTTGACCCAGTTTTCTTTTATTTCTGAGGCGTATGTGTATTTTAGTTTTTTTCTCCAAATTCCCTCCCATTCCGACATTGTTATTGTGCGTCCTATCATCCTAGCCCACTTAATCATAACCTCCTTCACTTGTTCTTCCTCCGTTGCCCATGATAGTAATTGCTGGTATAATCCTTTGATCACTTTTCTTTCTTTATTTAACATCTTATCCCATACCTTCTCTTTCATTTCAAATCCTATTTTTTTATCTTCCTTAAATCTCTCATTTACCTGCCAGTAGTGAAACCAGGTGAAATCCGGATCCATTCGCCTTATTTCCTCTAGTGATTTTAATTTTATTTCCTGGTTCGATTTCTCCAGGAGCTGTTTGTATCTTAACCATTTGCCTTTTGCAGTTTCCCTCCTTTGGTCTGCCTCATTCGGGGAGATCCATGATGGTGTTTTCACATACCATCTCCCCTTATACTTGTTCCATGTTCTTATTAGGGACGCCCTAATGGGGTGGTTAGAGAAATTCTTTTCTTTTGCGACTTTCCCTCCCCATAGGTAGCTGTGCCACCCTTTATTTAGGTCCTCCCCTTCCAGTGACAACATTCTATCGTCTTTTAGTGTTGCCCAATCCCTCACCCAAGCAAGCGCTGCTGCGTCATAATACAGTTGGAGGTCTGGTAACCCAAGCCCTCCCCTCTTGGGGTCATCGCTCATGTTCCTGAATTTTATTCTGGCCCGCTTGTTTTGCCATATAAATTTGTTTAGTTCTTTCTGCCATTTTGCTATTATACTTTTTGTTTTTACTACAGGAATCATGCGGAACAGGTATAAGATCTCCGCTAAGATGTTCATTTTTGTTACCGCGATTCTCCCCAGGAGGGATAGTTCCAACCTCTGCCATCTGCACATCTTTTCCTTTATTTGTTTCCATCTGGTGTCGTAATTGTTTTTTATTAACTGCGCATTGCAAGGTGTTATATTTATTCCCAAGTATTTAACTTTTGATGTAACTTCCACTCCTGATATTCTTTGAAGTTCTTCCTTTCTTTCCTTTGACATATTTTTTACCAGAAATTTTGTTTTGTTTTTATTTATTTTTAGTCCTGCTACCTCACCGAAGGTTGTAATTTCTGACCACCATTTGTCCCACTGTTTTGTCGGATCTTCTATCACTCCTACCACATCATCAGCGAATGCTGCTATCTTGTAAGTGTGTGATCTTAGTTTTAGCCCTTTAATTTCTTTGTTGTTCTTGATGCTGTCGAGCAATACCTCCAGGGTCATGATGTAAATCAGTGGGGATACTGGACACCCCTGCCTTGTCCCCCTAGATATTTTAATTGGGTCCGATGTTTGTCCATTCACAATTATTTTCGCTGTTTGTAGCGAATATATTGCTTTGATCGCATTGGAGAAGTGGTATCCTACATCAAGTTCTTTCATTAGTTCTATTATAAATCCCCAGTTGACCCTGTCGAATGCCTTCTCCGCGTCTAAAAATAAGAGACCCGCCTCCTTTTGTGTGTGTTTGTTGTAATACTCTATTACATTAAGGATCAGTCTCATGTTCTTGCTTATTTGCCGCCCTGGCAGAAATCCAGTCTGATCTATATTTATTCTTTTTTCAAGCACCTTTTTTAATCTCGCTGCTATCACGCCCGAAAATATTTTGTAATCAACATTTAATAGTGATATTGGGCGGAAATTCGATACCTTTGTTGTATCCTGGTCTTCTTTTGGTTTTACGGTTATATGTGCTGTTCTCCAAGACTCTGGTAGCTTCCTATCCTCTAGGGCTTTGTTCATAACCTTTACTAGAGATGGTGTTAATATCTCGCTGAAGGTTTTATAGTATTTTTCTGTTAGTCCATCAGGACCTGGGGATTTGTTCGGTGGTAATTTTGTTATTATTTCTTTTAACTCGTCTTCTGTTACTTTTTTATTTAGTATTTCCCTTTCTTCCTCGGATAGCCTCTTTATGTTTTGTTTCCCTAGGTAGTTTATTACTTTCTCTTTTGGTATATTATCAGCTGCGTAGAGTTTTTTTTATAAAATTTTCTAAATTGTTCTTCTATTTCTGATTGTTTTACATAGCTTCTGCTGTCATCCTCTATTTTGCTTATCTGTTGCTTGTGTCTTTTTCTTCTTACCTTCCAGGCTAGGTGTTTCCCTATTTTATTAGCGTTTTCAAAATGGTTTTGTCTTATATATTTTAGTTTTTTGCTAATTTCCTCTAATTGTAAAGTGTCCCATCTTTTCCTTAGAATTTCTAGTTGAAGTTTTAGTGATTCTTTGTCAGGTCGTTTTTTAAGTTCTTCTTTGGTTTTTTTAATATTTCCTTCTAGTTCTCTTGTTTCGCTCTTTCTTGTTTTGTTCCTTATAGCTCTTTGTTGAATGAAATGACCTCTAATATACGCCTTAGATGTATCCCAGATAATGTCTATGGTTGTATCTTTTTCTGTGTTGAGTTTAAAGAACTCTTCTAGTATTTTTTTGTTTATTTCTTGATCTTTCTGCTCTCTTATCAGTTGTTCATCTAATCTCCATGACCTTGCTCTTGTCATATTATCTGTCCTTTCCATGATTAATTCCAGCAGGGCGTGATCTGAGTTTGTTCTTGTTAGTATTCTAACATTTACCGTTTTTTCTATTATTTTTCCTGACCCCCACACCATATCTATGTGTGACCACGAGCTGTGGCAGGCCGAATAGAATGTGAAGTCCCGATCATTCTTGTGGAGAAATCTCCAAATGTCCTGCAGTCCTAAGTTTTCTCTTATCCTATTGAATTCTTTTGGAAGTTCCCCAACCTGGTAATTCTCCCCCTTTTTTTTCTTTCCCGTAATTTTGTCTATTTTACTGCTAACGACCCCATTAAAGTCTCCCATAATAATTAGGTCGTCGTATTCTTGAGCTAGGATTTTCTTATATAGGGAGTCGATAAATTTTGTTTTGGCACCATTCGGGGCGTAGATGTTGCATAGTAACACTTTCCTTGCATCGAATTCTATAATGATACCCTGCATCCTTCCCTCTTGATCTTTGAATACTTGTTTAGATGGTATCTTTTCCTTTATATACATTACTACCCCCCTCTTTTTTTCCCCTCCCGAGGCGTAATACATTTTCCCCAGTTTCTTTTGGGTTAGATGGGCAACATGTCTATGGCATATATGAGTTTCTTGAAGCATTATTATGTCATATTGTCCTTTATTAAGCTGGTGCCATATTTTTGTCCTTTTGTGGGGGTTATTTAAACCGTTTACATTATTTGAATATATCTTAATGTTCTGTGCCATTTGTTTTCCCTATTCCGGTGTCGTCTTTCCCATTCGCCGCTTCTGAGTTCGTGAAGCTCCTGTAGTTTTTGGGGGATAGCTCTTTTGGTCTTTTTCTTAGTCTCTCTTGTGTGGCCTCATAGGTTTCCTGTTGCTCCACGTCTTCTTCACTCTTGTCTTTCCTCTGTCCTTTATCTTCCTTGCGCAAGTATTTATCGTAGAACAATTTGGCCTTTATTTCTGATGTTAACCAGTGCTTGTCGCCTTCCCATGTTACCATTATCCCCTCTCTTCTCTCCCACTTGAATCTTACATTTTTCCTCTTTAGCTCGTCAGTAAGATAGAAATATTTTCGTCTTCTTTCCAGGACTGATTTTGGATGTTCTTTTAGGATTGCGATCTTACTTCCGTTATAGTAGGTGGGCTTCTTGGCATTTTCTTTCAATATTTCATCTCTCATGGATTTTTTTCCAAAGGAAACTACCACATCTCTAGGTACATTATGTTTTTTGGCGTATTCTGATTGAATTCGAAAGACTCTGTCTATGTTGTCTTCTATGTCTTCCTGACTAAGTTGGAGCATTTGTGCCACTATATTTGCGATTATTTCTTTGATGTTTTCCTTTTCTCCCTCTTGTATATTTCTAAATCTAAGCTGGAACTCTTTTTCCTTTGCCTCTAAATTTTCTTGCTGCGTTTGTAGTGCTTCCATTTTCCTTTCCATTGTATGCATCGCCTTTTCCAGTTCTTTTTGGTGGTTTTTAACTGTTTTGTTTTCCTTTAAGTCTTCTTTCCTTTCTTGTTTCATGTCTTCCATTTCTTTGTGGATAGTTCTTATTTCTTCCTTCATTGCTATCTGCACTTCTTCCTTAATTTCCTTTCTCATCTCCTCCATTTCTTTCCTGATGTTGTTATATTGTTTGTCGTGTTTTCCTTCAAGTCTTTGCACGTCCGATTGCAATTTCAGTATTTCCCTCATTAAGTCCTTCATGGTGAATTCTTCTTTCTTCTCTACATTTTCTTCTGGAACGGGTTCTTTTATTGCAGGATCTTTTGTTAATGAGTCCTTTCTGGTTTGTAATTTTTTTTCTTTGTCTTTGTCTTTATCTATTTTTATTTTCGGTGTCGTCATCTCTTCATTGATTTCTATCCTCTTTTTTTTTCTTCTTTTTTCCCTCTTTTTCCTTCCTTCCTCCTTCCTTTCCCTTCTTCTCTCTTTTTTCCCTTTTTTCCTTCTGTTATCTTTCAGAAACTGTCTTTACTCATTCACTATTTACTTGGACGATTCTATGGTCCTTTATCTTTTACATTCAGACATATTGCTATGTACATTCAAACATATTGCTATGTACAAGTATCTTTTAATACATGTCCTCCCTCCCCCCACCCTCCCGGAAAAAAAAAGGAGGGGGAGTGAAGGGGGTGGGGTTGGGGAGGGGATAATAAATGACAAAATATTTGGCCTTTTCGGGCAGCCTTTCTTATGTTTTCAGTCTTGTTCCGTGTTCCCTATAGTTCTGGTCTCTAGTTCTTGAACTTCTAGCAATGTCCACTTCCAGGCACTATGGAAGGTCTTACGCAAGCCTGGGTAGTATGTTGCTATGTGTGGGGAGGGGAGATTAACAAGGGCGGGGTATAAGGTCTTCTATGGGGTGGTAAGGGTAAGGGAAAGGGGAGTGGGGTTGTCCTTTCCAATCACCTTGTTTTCGTCTCTGGAAGTCTCTGGAAGTTGTCTTCTCTTTCTCCCTCTTTCTTCCTCTTTCTTCCTCTACTTGTAGTTTTGAGGCTTGTAGTCTCACAGCTCCTCCTCTTTCAGTTCTTCCTTCTTCGTTCTTCCCCTTCTCCACTCGTTCCCTTCCTTTCGCACGCTGTGTTGTATGTATGTATTGTAGTTTACCAGTTTACCATGGAGTCCGTCGCGTCTTGGTTCCTGCGTCTTACGTCACACCCTGCGTTACGTCCTGCGTTGCTCCTCCCCGCCTCCTCCGTCACGTTCTGTGTGTCTCTCGTCTCTTCTCTCTACCTTCTCCTTCTCCTTCTCCTCTCCCCACCACTCTCCGCTCTCAGCTCCGGATCCGGATCCGTGCAGCCACCTCTTCTCTCCTCCTGGTCTTTTCCTACATCCAATTCATCCACCCCCGCTCTTCCCAAGTGTTCGTTGCGCGGTTGCGGAGACCGAGGGGCTAGATCCACTGGGCTCTCCCCTTTCGCTCCGCCTCCTCCTCGCGACTTGGGACTATAGGGCTCTTGAAGTTCTCTGGCTCCTTGTATTCCGCGATCTCGCGTCCCTCATCTCATCTCATGTTAACCTGGGTCATCAGGAGTGGGTGACAACTCGGAAATCTCTTCTTAATTTTGGCAGTTATTATTGTTAGCAAGTATTATTATTCTCGGTCACGTCCGGCGCTGGTGTCTACGCCCTCTGCGTGACTTCTTCACTCCTTCCTTTTCTTCCCCTTAATTCTTAAAGGAGCCTGACCGCTTTTCCCTTTCTAGTCTTATTCCTTTTTTTTCCCCTTTGGTCCTCTTCTGTCGCTTAACCCCCTTATTTCTGGGTTGTCTTTTTTTTTCTTCCCTCTTCTTTACAGGCTAAAATAGGGGACGGCGTCCTCACCTCCTCTTTTCCAGGTGCACCTTGCCACGCTCGCGTCCTCTGGGCTTCTCCCCCGTCCGCGTTTCACCCCCCGCTGTTGGGAGATGTTCCGCCGACGAGGTTTGTTCCTTTGGTTGGCACCACGCTGACCTCCAATCCTCGTGGGGAGGGTTCCCACCTCCTTAGCGTTTTGGCAAGGTCGGGTGGCTGAGCCCGTCGGAGCTCAGCTAACCGTGGCGTCCGCCATGCTTCCCCTACCGGAAGTCTATAGATTTAAATTGTTGACGTGCTGGCTGATACCCAAACAAGGGATGAGCTGGAGATGTCTCTGCCTTGGTCCTTTCACTATTGGCTGCTACTTCCCGGCGGATGTCAGGTGGTGCAATACCGGCTAAGCAGTGTAATTTCTCCAGTGGTGTGGGGCGCAGGCACCCCGTGATAATGCGGCATGTCTCATTAAGAGCCACATCCACTGTTTTAGTGTGGTGAGATGTGTTCCACACTGGGCATGCATACTCAGCAGCAGAGTAGCATAGCGCAAGGGCAGATGTCTTCACTGTGTCTGGTTGTGATCCCCAGGTTGTGCCAGTCAGCTTTCGTATGATATTGTTTCTAGCACCCACTTTTTGCTTGATGTTCAGCAGTGCTTCTTGTAGGTAAGAGCACGGTCCAGAGTGACTCCCAGGTATTTGGGTGCGCTGCAATGCTCCAGTGGGATTCCTTCCCAGGTGATCTTCAGAGCTCGGGATGCTTGTCTGTTCTTGAGATGAAAGGCACATGTCTGTGTTTTAGATGGATTAGGGATCAGCTGGTTTTCCCTGTAATAGGCAATAAGAACACCTAGAGCTTCGGAGAGCTTCTGTTCAACCATCTCAAAGCTCCCTGCTTGAGCAGTAATGGCACGATCATCAGCATAGATGAAACTCTCTGTCCCTTCTGGCAATGGCTGGTCATTTGTGTAGATGTTGAACATGGATGGAGCAAGCACGCTCCCCTGAGGCAGGCCGTTCTTCTGTTTCCGCCATCTGCTTTTCTGGCCCTGGAACTCAACAAAAAAGCTCCTGTTTTGTAGCAGGTTTCCTATGAGGCGGGTGAGGTGGTAGTCCTTTGTGATATTATACATTTTTCTCAGGAGGAGGCGGTGGTTCACAGTATCATAGGCTGCTGACAGGTCTATGAAGACAGCTCCTGTGATCTGCTGCCTTTCAAAACCATCTTCTATGTGCTTGAGTCAGGTGGGGGTGGGGTGCACGTTTGGAAGCTGAACGGGGCCTAATGATCATAAAGTAATAACAGGACGAGAGAATAGTTCCTTGTCCTTAAACTTGCAATCCAGTTAAGGCCTAATAATAATAATAGCAATAGTAATACAACAAAACTGTTACTTGTCCTTAAGCTTACAATCCAGTTAAGGCATCATGATGGTGATGGTAATAATAATAATAATAATAATAATAATAATAATAATATCATAGAATCATAGAATCAAAGAGTTGGAAGAGACCTCATGGGCCATCCAGTCCAACCCCTCTGCCAAGAAGCAGGAATATTGCATTCAAATCACCCCTGACAGATGGCCATCCAGCCTCTGTTTAAAAGCTTCCAAAGAAGGAGCCTCCTCCACACTCTGGGGCAGAGAGTTCCACTGCTGAACGGCTCTCACAGTCAGGAAGTTCTTCCTCATGTTCAGATGGAATCTTCTTTCTTGTAGTTTGAAGCCATTGTTCCGTGTCCTAGTCTCCAAGGAAGCAGAAAACAAGCTTGCTCCCTCCTCCCTGTGGCTTCCTCTCACATATTTATACATGGCTATCATATCTCCTCTCAGCCTTCTCTTCTTCAGGCTAAACATGCCCAGCTCCTAAGCCGCTCCTCATAGGGCTTGTTCTCCAGACCCTTGATCATTTTAGTCGCCCTCCTCTGGACACATTCCAGCTTGTCAATGATAATAATAATATGATGATAATACTAATAATAGTAGTAGTATCATAGAATCAAAGAGTTGGAAGAGACCTCATGGGAAGAGACCTCATGGGCCATCCATAATACAAAACTATTTTGTATTATTATTATTATTATTATTATTATTATTATTATTCCTTAATTGGATTGTAATAATGGTAATACCACAATACAGTTCCCTGTCCTTTGGCTTACAAACCAATTAAGGACTGATGATGATGATGATGATGATGATGATGATAATGCAAAACAGCTCCCTGTCCATAAATTCCCTGTCCAATTAAGGCATAATAATAATAATGACTCTTCACATCTCCTCCTTTGTTCCTACTTCAGAATTACCCCCTTTACATCAAGAGCGTCCCCACAGAGAACGAGCTGAAGTTCCACTACACGGTGCACACGTCGCTGGATGTGGTGGACGAGAAGATTTCGGCCATGGGAAAGGCGCTGGTGGACCAGAGGGAGCTCTACCTGGGGCTGCTGTACCCCACAGAGGACTACAAAGTGTATCTTTGGGGCTTGTTGGGATTATTCTTTGGGTCATATTGTTCCATACATCTATTATTATAGAATACTAGAGTTGGAAGAGACCCCAGGTGCCATCCAGTCCAATAATACAAAACAGTTCCCTGTCCATAGGTCAATAGTCCAAGTAATGCATAATAAGAAGGAGGAGGAGGAGGAATAATAATAATAATAATAATAATAATAATAATAATAATGGCATAATAGTAATGCAACAAAACATCTCTCTGCCGAATGTCTGTTCATTTTTATTATCTAACTAGCTTGGGTTCCCCAGCATTTCCTGGATTAGTTGAAAAAGTCAATTTTTAAATTGTACAAAAAGCGTAAGGTTGTGGGTGAAGTACAACCTCACATCATGCCAGTTTAACCCCAAAAAGTACAACCTCACATCATGCCAGGTTAACCCCAAAAAGCTCCATCAATACTTAAAGTTTGTTGTGTAGGGCAAGTTTGCTCTAGATGTATCATTGGTGGGGTTCAGTGTGCTCTCTGGCTGTAGGGTAAACTGCAACTCCCACTATGGTGAGTCAGTCCCCTCAAACCCCTCCAGTAGGTTGAGTTAGTCAAGGGGGTTCTGTGTGCCACGTTTAGTCCAAATCCATAATTGGTGGAGGTCAGAGTTTCTCAGGTTGTGGGTGAACTACAACTTCCATAAAGGAAGGTCAGTCCCCCCAAGCCCCTCTCCCGCCCCGTAAACAAATTTCGGCATATTAGTTACGTGTGCCAAGTTTGGTCCAGATCCATCAATGTTTGGGTTCATAGTGCTCTCTGCATGTAGGTGAAGTACAGCTCCCCCAAACCAAGGTGAATTTTCCCCAAAGATCTCCAGTATTTTTTGGTCCAATTCTATCTTTGGTGGAGTTCAGAGTGCTCATTAATTGAAGGTGAACTATAAATCCCAGTACCTACAACTCCAAAATGTCCAGGCCAACACCTGTCAAAAGCCACCAGAATTCAGATTTAGGCATATCGGGTATACATGCCAAGTTCCAGACCCATCCTTGTTTGCTCTCTGAGTGCTCTCTGGATGTAGGTGAACTACAACTATAAATCCCTCCAAAGACCTGCAGTACTTTTTATTGGTCATGGGGGTTCTGTGTGCCAAGTTAGTTCCAGATCCATGATTGGTGGAATTAAGAGTGCAGTTCTTAGATTGCAGGTTAACTATACATCCCAGGACCTACAACTCCTATAGATCACGGTGAATTTGCCCCAAATCTCTCAGTGCTCCTCTGTTTGCTGTGTGCCATAGAAAAGAATAGAAAAGGGTTAAGAGAGAGGCATTGGGCGGGATCATGCAAATTCCACACCAATGGAGGGAGTACGAAACATTGGGATGTCTGTGGTGGAGGAAACATGTAAAATCTAGGATGAAATTCTCCCTGTATGAAAGCCTTCACTTGGGTGGTGGGCAGTATGGTGTTTGTGGAGGACACTGGCAGGGCTCTTGTACATGTTTATGATGCTCACTATAACCTGCAATGTCATTGGAGGGAGGGCCGATGGTGTCTCCTGAGTAGTGGGAGCTATAGCTGTTTGTGTCTTATCTCTGTTATAACAGGTTGTGCTTTTTATTTAATTTTAGATTGTTAAGTTACAATTCTTATTTATATGTTGGGTTGTATAAATTTTGTTAGTATGGATGTTTTGTTGTTGTATTCAGGCATTGAATGTTTGCCTTTTATGTTTGGAATCCGTCCTGAGTCCCTTTGGGGAGATAGAGCGGAATAAAAATTATTATTATTATTATTATTATTATTATTATTATTATTGTGGAGTCAGGAGCTTGTCTGTGTAAGTGGACACTCCAGCCACACACACACATGCATATTTTCACTTTTATTATGTGTATAGATATCCCTATTGGGAGTATTTCTCTTTTATTTATTGGGAATTTTATATTTTGCCATTTCCCCAACATTCAATTGATTTAACCATCTAATGTATACTAGGGTCACATAAAGGATTGTAATCAAAAATGTTTAAGAAGCCCTAGTGTGGATAACACTTTGTTGCATCGTCCCTCTTCTTTCTTCCTGTGTTCTGTACAATCTTTCCCTTGACTGGCCAAACAGATACGGCTATGTCACCAATTCCAAGGTGAAGTTTGTGATGGTGGTGGATTCTTCCAACACGGCACTCCGAGACAACGAAATCCGAAGTGTAAGTCCAGGGCAAGGGGCCTTTGCTCCCCCTGAATCCTCAGAGGAGGATAGTCATTGTGGTTCCTTTTCCAGATGTTCCGGAAGCTGCACAATTCTTACACGGACGTCATGTGCAACCCCTTTTATAACCCTGGGGACCAGATCCAATCCAGGTGAGTCCATAGTGAGAAAGCGTGCTCTCTTTGGTTGTTCCTGGGGTCTTTTGTATCGAAATTCAGGCAAATATCATAAAATTATCAGGTGACTTGGAATGCACATAAACATACATTATCATTATTGTTGTTGTTCATTTGTCAGTCGTTTCTGACAATTCGTGACTTCATAGACCAGCCCACACCAGAGCTTCCTGTCGGTCGTCACCACCCCCATCTCCTTCAAGGTCAATCCAGTCACTTCAAGGATCCCATCCATCCATCTTGCCCTTGGTCGGCCCCTCTTCCTTTTTCCTTCCTTTTTCCCTAGCATAATTGTCTTCTCTAATTGTTGTATTTGGGCTCTCATTATTATTATTATTACTTGATACATAACAAGATTGGTCCACAGCTAACAAGATAACTATGCTGGCTTTTGTATTTGATTGCACATCGGACACTTCCTAAGTTCTATTGTTCTGTTCTATTGTATTGTAATTGTTATTATTACTATTATTAGGCCTTAGGCCTAAACCTAAAGACAGGGAACTGTTCTATTGTACTATCATCATCATCATAATCACTATTATCTTCACCATCATGATGCCTTAACTGGATTGTAAGCCTAAGGACAGAGAACTGTTCTGTTTGCATTATTGTTGTTATTATAGTATTATTATTATTATTATTATTATTATTATTATTATTATTATTATTATTCCTTAACTGGATTGTAAGCCTAAGGACGGGGAACTGTTCTGTTTGCATTATTGTTATTTTTATTGTATTATTATTATTATTATTATTATTATTCCTTAACTGGATTGTAATAATAATAATAATAATGATAAATAATAATACTAATAATAATAATACTTTATTTGTACCCCGCTACCATCTCCCCAAGGGACTCGGTGCGGCTTACATGAGGCCGAGCCCAAATACAACAATACAAGCAATAATATCAACAATACAAGCAATTAAAATAAAACATGGACAATAAAATAATGTAAGCATTAACAATAAGACAACACACAAATTAAAAACTGGGAAGACCAAATGTAAAATTAAAATTGAAAATAATGCTGGAACATGGGCGGAAAAAGTGATGGGGCATTTGTGGAAAACATACAAGCAGACCTAAAACAATGTAAAGAGCTTTGGAGGACAAAGTGCTGTGAGATCATTATTCTGGGAAGGCACACTGGAACAACCACGTCTTCAAGCTCCTTCTAAAGACTGCCAGAGTTGGGGCATGCCTGATGTCCTTAGGAAGCGAGTTCCAGAGTTGAGGGGCCACCATCAAAAAGGCCCTCTCTCTCGTCCCCACCAATCGCGCCTGTGATTCAGGTGGGAGCGCGAGCAGGGCCTCTCCAGATGATCGAACTGGATTGTAAGCCTAAGGACGGGGAACTGTTCTGTTTGCTTTATTGTCATTATTATTGTTATATTGTTATTGTTATTGTTATTATTATTATTATTATTATTATTATTGTTATTATTATTATTATTCCTTAACTGGATTGTAAGCCTAAGGACAGGAAACTGTTCTTTATTATTATTATTGTTATTGTTGTTGTTGTTGTTATTATTATTTCATACACAACAAAATTAGTCCACTGCAAACAAGATCACTATGCTGGCTTTTGTATTTGATCACACGTCGGACACTTCTCAAGTGTCTAGGGCTGTGTGATGTATCGAATAATGCGTGCAGATCTGAGTAGGGTGGCCTTTTGCAGCTGACAGATGGTAATTTTGTCAGCGCCGATTGTTTTCAAGTGCAGGCCAAGGTCTTTAGGCACTTCACCCAGTGTACCGATCACCGCTGGGACCCCTTGACTGGCTTGTGCCAGAGTCTTTGCAGTTTGATCTTTAAATCTTCATATTGTGTAAGCTTTTCCAAATGCTTCTCGCCAATCCTGCTGTCTCCTGGAATTGCAACATCAACGATCCATACTTATTTTTTTTCCAGGATGGTGAAGTCGAGTATTGTGCTTAAAAAATCTGTCAGTTTGAATTATTATTATTGTTATTGTTATTAGAGTACTATTGGATTCAACAGTATTTTCTCTCAAACAAGACATAGCTATGTCTTGTTTATATTAATTCCATCTTCTTGAAAACAACTGCTGAATTATAGGAGAAGAATTCTGGTTGATAAGTCCAGAATTCACTAGATAGCATCACGGGAGAAAACGTCCAATAAAGTCCTGACATGCGGGGTGGGGCATATTCTCTCATACTGTTAACTAGCTGGTCTGTTTGCGGTTGATTTTTTGCTCCTACGCGTTTGTTTTGCTGCTTCCCTCACATTTTATCTGTTTCTTTCCAAGGGCCTTTGACAACATAGTGACATCCATGATGGTGCAGGTTTGCTGAAGCCTCTGTCTCTTCTTCCTATGGGAAAAAAAAACATGCCAGCTTGCTGTATATATTTATTTGACATTTTTTTTGTAATGTGTGTTGCTGCTCTTCCAAGTCATGCTCTGTGAAATAAAACCACTTCATAGTAAGCTGGCTTGAAGTATTTCTTCGCCAAGGAG